CTCCATGATATCCAGTATGTAAATACAACTCCAAGATATCCAGTATGTAAGTACCACACCCAGATATCCAGTATGCAAGTGCCACTCCAAGATATCAAGTGTGTAAGTACCACTCCAAGATATCCAGTGTGTAAGGAACCACTCCATGATATCCAGTGTGTAAGTACAACTGCAAGCTATCCTGTGTGCATGTACCACTCCAAGATATCCAGTGTGTAAGTACCACTCCAAGATATCCAGTGTGTAAGTACCACTCCATGATATCCAGTGTGTAAGTACCACTCCATGATATCCAGTATGTAAGTCCCACTCCAAGATATCCAGTATGCATGTACCACTCGAAGATATCCAGTGTGCAAGTACCACTCGAAGATATCCAGTATGTAAGTACCACTCCAAGATATCCAGTGTGTAAGTACCACTCCAAGATATCCAGTATGTAAGTACCACTCCAAGACATCCAGTATGCATGTACCACTCCATGATATCCAGTATGCAAGTACCACTTGAAGATATCCAGTGTGCAAGTACCACTCCAAGATATCCAATGTGTAAGTACCACTCCAAGATATCCAGTATGTAAGTACCCCTCCAAGATATCCAGTGTGTAAGTACCACTCCAAGATATCCAGTGTGTAAGTCCCACTCCAAGACATCCAGTATGCTAGTACCATACCATGAAATCCAGTATGCAAGTACCACTCCATGATATCCAGTATGCAAGTACCACACCATGATATCGTTGACGAACAGATGATGTGTCAGTGTGAATGGCTGCAAAGAGTCTCCTTTGCAGACAATCGACTCTTGAAGCCACCACCGAGTGCATGTGCCGAGGACAACAACCCCCAGAGTTGCTGCCACTCTCAAAGCAGAAGTGGACAATAAGTGCCAATGGCACGATAAGCTGTATCTTGGACTACCTGTCTGGGGGACAAACATCTTCCCCAAATTGGTGAGAAATTGGAAGAGAGCTCCTATGAACTGCAGGTGTTGCGTGGGTGTTGTCTCAGGCTTTGAGACGTTGATCAAACCAGCCCCACTTTTGAAGCAACTTCTGAGTGAAATTAAGGTGTTGCACAAGAGGAGCTTGATCTGTATGTTCCTGAATGCAATCATCTAAGAAGGCTTCAAATATAATCCCTCGATGATGAAGAAACTGCACGATGGGTTTTGCAATCCGAGTGAAAAGCCACAGGGTCGTACATATTCCGAACAGAAGCGCCCTCCACTGGTAGTGTAGACCTTGGAATACAACCGCAGATACGGTCGGTGCTCTCGATGGATTTGTACATGAAGATAGTTGAATGATCGTAGGCAGCGGCACAACAGAGGTCATGCGGAAATGAGACGGCTGCTCGAGGTACTGCGCTTTGAATATCTTCAGATTGAAAATCATACACATCTTGCCGCTGTCTTTTGGGGGACCAGGAAAATAGTCGAGTAAAACCCTGGTGTGACGGGGCTGGTGCCTAGAAAAACTATAGCCTGTTTGGTAATTAACATTCCTATTGCTTCATGTAGGGCTTGAAGCTGTAGTCTTCCAGTAGAGTCCAATTCTCTGCAAAAGACCAAATCTCTCACCTACAGGAGACTTGAATAGTGGGACGGCTGGAGGCTGAAGGTCCCAGTCGTACTAGAGCCGGAGAAAGTCATTTAGTAGAGGAGTCTCTCCAGCGTTTGTATGAACAATACTGTCCTGGTGGTTGAGGGTTTATGTCCTCTCTGTCCGTAACCTCAGCGCCCTCTTCCACGAAAAGAGCCTCTATTTTCCATCACTTGCTGTAAATCATACTGGACTGGCGTAAACTGAGGACGACATCTCTCATCAGCCTGCCATTGTTCCTCCAACTGTTGGTGCTGGAGCTTCAGGAGATAACTGATATTCGTAATTGCGTCTCTTCAGTGACATCCTGGGCAATTGACTGGATGTTGTTGGTATAACCTCACTTTAAAGTGGAACTCCCACTGACAGAATTGTAGAAACCCCCAGCGACAAAAGCTTGTGACAGATCCCAGATGATGTGACAATAAGTCCATGATACCTCAGAATTTGTCGTGGATAAGGGCTACTGCCCCCCTTACCTGTGCTTCCTCTGAAGAACTGGCATGTGCAATAGTGGTAGCTATTGTCTCTATAGCTGACAAGACTGTAGACAGGAGAGGTAATGTGTGTATAATAGTAGAGTCCAAGTGGGAAAGTTAATAATTCTCTATGATTGAGGTATGGGATGTCCTCTTAGGGTTCAACGCAAGGATGTCTCTGTCCCCTTCTGGTGACCTAATCAGGGATGACATACCATGTGCCCCGCTGTGTGAGAGTTTGGATTTAGGTGTTAGTAACCTGACTTTAAACTTTCTGAATTGTGCGAAGGCGTGATTCAAATTCAGAGCATGATCAGAGAAAATTATCTTGGGCAGCAAGTTCATAGGCGCCGAAGGAGAGCTTGTCACAACAAATCCATTTGCACAGTCAGCGTCTGAAAGACTCCTCAGTAATCCTAATTTGTCTGTTGTCCAGGGAAGTGTAACTTGCAGGCAAGTGAGACGGGTAAGAGGACTCATTGGTAACGGTTCTAGGTTGCCCAAATGGAGTATGTAAGGTTAGTGATTGTCGAATATTGGAGCGAGTCTCACTGTGGGCTGTCGTAGAGACTGAAGAGGTAGACGGAGCATGTAGGTTTGTCTGTGTGTTACGACGATCCATGACGGAAGTCATCGCTTGTAGTAGGCTTTCAAAGTAGGTGACAAAACTGACTGCTGTTGATGATCCCAAGATGAAGGGATTGTTTTAGTAGCAGGCATATCTCTTCTGGACAGGCGATCCTGTACATGAGCAGGTTGTGGAGACGACGAACCCCATGGAGATGTGCTATGATAGCATCTATTGATCCGCAGATGCTATATCCTGTCGGCGATCCATTAGAGAGGCATAGCGCTGTCGATCCCTATGTTGATTGTTGTGGGTAGATCGCTCCAAGCTCTGGGATCTTGTGTTAGTCTGATCGGAATGTCAATGTTGATGTGCTGTTTGAAGATCCGAGCATGAATGTCGATCCAAGGTAGGTGATGTGAAATGCTGACAATCCGATAGTCGATCAGTTGTTGAAAGCCGATCCGAAGTTCGATGTCGATCTGCTGGATGGCAATCTGGGACAGATGATCTGGAACAGTCGATCCAGTAACCAATTGTGATCTGCTGATTGTCGATCCGAGTGAGAAAGTGATCTGAGATAGGCGATCTAGAATGACGACAATCTGAGAGTCGATTGTGATCTGCCGATTGATGAGTACGATCTGCTGGGGCAAGGCGATCCGAAAGACGAAGTTGATCTGGGTCAGTAGGACATCTGGGTTCCCGCTGATCCAAGCCGTTATGATGTTCTGAGTCACAATCTGAAGAACAATCCCAAAGTTGCTCTGCGAGGCGATGCTAATCTGATGAGGGTGAAGGAGAATGTCGACTCGATTCACGAGATTGCAATCACTCCAGGCGATCCAAACTGTGCTACTGATCTAGGGAGGTCGATCGCTGTGGTTCTTCCACGCACTGTTGATCTGACTAGTGAGGAAATCACTTGAGAATCCTCCTTGGCTCGGTCTGGTCAGCTTGGAGGTTTTGTGTTGGTGAGGGATCAGATGATAGCACTGTGCGTCGATCAGCCATATCAAAACCCAGGCTATGGGCGTTGACTTGAAAAGGGCGGGAAACGAGCATGCTCATTTTAGCGGGATATCGTCAGTAAGAAAGCTGTCCGATCCTAGATCTTCTAATAATGATCAAGCAGTAGATGAAACAGACACTGTAGCAGTAACCATGGCTGATCTCACTGCTTTTAATGTTTGGCTTTCTCTACACATGATGATCCGTGCTCCCTGGACGCACATTTGGAACAGCAATCCGAATAACGCTTGTTCCACTTGTGTAAATAAACACTAAAATGCCTCCTTTAGAAAATTCTCTACACTAAGAACAGTGATCATTGTCCTTACATTGGCCATTGGTCACAGCACACATTGTGTGTATCAGACAACGTAAAAGTACGATTGCACAACTTGCAATGCGGGTGTTTCTCCATCATGAATGAGAACATGATGGCCAATGTTCGTAAGTAAATCAAAGCAAAAAACAACCAAAAATCTTCAATTCTTAAAGGCAAGTCTTGACACCTTGGTGATGAGAATAAGAATGGCTTGGGAACATACACCAAGTGGTCAAGTTAGCTGAGGACGGGTTACACGGGATTGCTTGGTGCGTGACCAAGATGGACAAGCTGTGACCATGGTGATGAATAGGGATGACTAGGAATGTTTTGGGGTTAGGTGTTCTTTGAAGTTGGAAATTTTGTTCTTAGGTGTTTCCACACCAGGATCGAAGAAGGAAGAGAGATGTATTTAGTGAGATAGGATAAGTTTTAAAATTTATGCATTTTAAACAATGTCAACCATCGGCTGATCATGAATTTCTGTTTTACTTTTTGCTTTTTGCTTGCTCTTCCATATTAATCCCTGTGATGTCACTGAGAGAGAAACAGACCGCTTTTTCAATCACCAACACAAAACAGCCAAGAGATTACTTTCTTCATTCAGTGCATTCCCAATATGAGTACATTGTCTGAACTTTGGTGTTTCACGATGTTGTGCAGTACTGCTTGAAATAGTGTCAAATCGCTCTCTCTCTCTCCAACCCTGGTCTTTCACGATGTTGTGCAGTACTTCTTGAAGTAGTGTCAAATATCTCTCTCTCTCTTCAACCTTGATGGCATATCTGGATACTGTCAGGGCATCAAGAGTTGTCTCCCCTTAACTAACTTGTTACTCCACAACAATCAGTAAACTGTCTTGCACCTGCCGTGACAGACAGCCATAGCAACTTATTTTGTCCACCAATCATGAATGTACATGATGTAGGGAAACTAACCTGGATGTTGTCAGATTCCATGAAGAGCTAAAGTACATTACATAAAGCGAACAAGATACTCAGTAGAAGAAATCCTTACCTCAACAAGTGACTTTGGTGGTTCCTCAATCTGCCCATTCTCTATCGCTATCAAACCACCCATCTGGATAACAAACAAAATCAGAATAAGCATAATTAGTGATAATTAGTAATTGTTGTTTTGATATTATAAAAGTTGGCAGCAGCAGGACAGAATCAATTTCATCTGGGTCAGATTAACACATAATGAAACATGGGGAAGTAGTAGGTGAGGTGAAATGGGGTTTAACGTTGTGTCCAAGATTATTGCACTTATGTAGCGACGTGCATGTATGTGTGTGTGTGTGTATGTGGCTGCTTGTACTAGTCCGGACTGATGCCGATTTATAGTGCTAGCCCACTGAGATACCATGCCGCAGTTTAACATGAATATCCCACTCAGACACAGTATACTGACTCTGAGCTGACCAGTCCTTGTTTTAGCCCCTAAATGCCGAGTGCCAGACAGGGTAAAAACAAGTACCATCTTTTAACGTCTTTTGGTATAACATGGCCGAGGATCAAACCCCGGGCCTTCCACTCTCCGGGCGGACGCTCTACCACTAGACCATGGAGGCGGTTGGGGGAAATAGTAATGTTCCTTTAATACATAGACATTCATCAACATTATCCTTCAGAAGATGGTTTGGACTAAGATGATTTCACTACAAATTAAATAGTAGTGTGGGTAAATTTATACCTGTGACAACGTATTCCATGACACACAAAACGCAGTGTTTGCAATAAGAAGTCAAATCAAAGAATCTTTGTCGTAGCCCTACTGTCGTGAATGAGAGATTTAGGAGATACTTGGATGAAAATAACAAGCCATATTACCAAAAGTTCCCATGACTCCCCTTAATATATCCCCTACTATGTGACAAGGTCATGATAAAGCTTGCTTGTGGTACACGAAACATACCCCATCTGCCTCCTTGCCTGCCTCCCCTGTACAGTAGGACTCCTTGATGACAGCGTGACAGCACCGGAACCCCCACTGGCCATCTCGCCAGTACGACCCCCATACACTCTGAAAAAGAGGAGAAGGTCACATCTGTAAAGTCATTCAAACTTGGCGACTCCTTGTTGCCAACATAACAACGAGACTTTTCACTGAGTATGAATACTTTTTTCATAAGGATTTTTTTCCTCAATCACGAATTTGTTGGGGTTTTTTCAAAGTCTTATAAGCAGGTTGGTTTAGTTGTCAGCGAAGCAGGTAATGTCATCCACTGAGTCATGTGATGTCATTCCAGGGTGATGGCATGTATCTCACAACTGGGAGACTTCTCTAAGAGAGAGTGCTGTATAAACTTACTGTAACTTTTGTATTTTACATTGATGATGAACATTATGTGTTTCAGATTAGTGAGTGTTGTTTGGTGTTACTTGACTTGTATCTTGAAACCTCCAGCTAACATATCCACTTCCAAATCATATCCGCAAATTTGAAAATACATAATGTTTATCTCCTAACAGACACCATGGTGTAGCTGTAATAGTGCTGACTGAGGCGTGAAATAACCACCCCACAAGAACATCTGTCATACTTAGCATGCTCACAGATAAAGCAATAACTAAAGATAAAGTTAACTCAGCAATCATGTATCATGCAATCAATCAAACTGTGTTTCTTTCAGCTCAGTTTTCATGACGCTGGTCCAGGATATCAACATCAGGAGAGAACTAGCTGTCCTCAACAGGGAAAAACATGTCAGAAATCCAAATCCGTAACTACACATCCTGAATCATTCTAACAGGATCCTGCCCAACATGCCAAGACCTGCCACTACCAGCTATTCTGCTAACCATGGTAATATACTTTCTCCTACTTTTGACAGTTCTCAGTTTTCAACTCATAACAGAATTGCAACACGTTTGCATGGTACCTTTGAAACACTGCATCTATCATCATTATTTATGTAGATGTCATCCTTGTATCTGTAGTGGATGCCTTTGATGACATGAAAGCTGCTGAATACTTACTGTGTGATTATTTATGTAGATGTCTTCCTCATATCTCGACTTGACCTTGGCCCGCTCCATGCCCTTGATGACAGTTCCGTGTCGAGAGTATTCCACATAGTCCTCCTGTTGGCAACAAACAGTGAGTGAGTGAGGGAATAGGGTTTTCACTGTAGCTACACTTATAATGTGTGTGTCTGTCCTTGTTGCCTTGCCCTGCAATATTCCAACTATATGATGGTAGCCTTGCAATAATAGCGTCTGGACCAGACAATCCAGTGACAGTGACAATCCAGTGATAGATGTTATTAGCAAGCAATTCTGACTAGCAATGGAGAGCTGGGGACACATTCTACCCACGGCCCCCACAGGTGTCATGTTATCATGGTTGTCGGGTGTCATGAATCACATGCATCACAACGTTTCAATTGAACAACCATTATCTGCTTTATCTTTCATGTTGTTTTTGTTTATTTTGGGTGGGGTAGGGAAGTGCTAATAATACACAAGAAACTACAGTAATGTCATATTTGGACAAATATTGTACATTTTGTATCATGAACATAAAAAGATTCACGTATGAGGCAAGGAAATGTTGCAATGAAAACACAAATTCAAAATCTGATTTGAAATATCTACAATAAATCAAAAATTAATTAGTTTGGACATATGCTATATACCTTATACATGACCATGCTGACAGTTATTACCCAAAGCTATACACACTATACAAGCTGACAGTTACTTTCCTATGCCATATATGATTGATTACTTTCCTATGCCATATACACAATACATGATTGGTTACTTTCCTATGCTATACACGCTTTACATGATAACAGTTACTTTCACATGCAAGACATGATTAGTTATTTTCCAGCTACAGCTACTTTCCTATGCTATACTAGCTGTACATGACAGTTACTTTCCCATGCTATACAAATTACACATGATGACATTTACTTTCCTCGGCTTACAAGCTATACATAACAGTTATTTTCCTATGCTATATACGCTATACAAGATGACAGTTACATTCCTATGCTATACACGCTGTTTATGACAGCTACTTTGCTATGCTATACAAGCTGTACATGACAGCTACTTTCCTATGCTATACAAGCTGTACAAGACAGCTACTTTCCTATGCTATACAAGCTGTACATGACAGCTACTTTCCTATGCTATACAAGCTGTACATGACAGCTACTTTCTTATGCTATACAAGCTGTACATGACAGCTACTTTCCTATGCTATACAAGCTGTACATGACAGCTACTTTCCTATGCTATACACATGATACAAGCTGTACATGACAGCTACTTTGCTATGCTATACAAGCTGTACATAACAGCTACTTTCCTTTGCTATACAAGCTGTACATGACAGCTACTTTCCTATGCTATACAAGCTGTACATAACAGCTACTTTCCTTTGCTATACAAGCTGTACATGACAGCTACTTTCCTATGCTATACAAGCTGTACATAACAGCTACTTTCCTATGCTATACAAGCTGTACATGACAGCTACTTTCCTATGCTATACTAGCTGTACATGACAGCTACTTTCCTATGCTATACAAGCTGTTTATGACAGTTACTTTCCTATGCTATACAAGCTGTACATGACAGCTACTTTCCTATGCTATACAAGCTGTACATGACAGCTACTTTCCTATGCTATACAAGCTGTACATGACAGCTACTTTCCTATGCTATACAAGCTGTACATGACAGCTACTTTCCTATGCTATACAAGCTGTACATGACAGCTACTTTCCTATGCTAGACATGCTATACATGAGTAATTGGGAGAAACAACAGACCGTCTGGGCCAGCAGGAGTTGTTTGGGTGGTGCCTCCAGATGCTCCTGTCCTCCATACTTGTCGATGATGCTGTCCTTGGCTGACTTCTTGTAGTCTTGTTTGCGGGTGCTGTATTCCTTGTGCAGCAGCTCCAGCTTTGTGGGGTCTGCCTGCAGGTGCACATCCGTCCCACGCTCGAACGCCTCCCACGCAAACACTGGACAAACAAGTTGTAGGGAGTTCAATGCAAGAATACTATTTGAATGTACCTTGGGGACACTTTGGCTTTGGGAACAATGAAAATATTATTTGCTAAATAAAGAAGAAGTATCTCTTAATATCTCAAAAGAAATGATCTAAATATATTGTTGATCTCAAAGTTTACCCAACTTAATCAGAATCATGTTCTATGTTATACCAAATTCTTTAAATTGAAAAGTTCAAGGGAACATCTGATCTCACAATCAAACAACAGGACATTAATCATGTTAATATCCAAACGGTATCATGTAAAGAATAGTAAAATACAGAAGGGTCTAAACTGGGGACTCATGTGTTCATTGTTATATCTGTACGTACAAACCATGGTTCATATATGAATTGTTGAATTAAAGCAGAACGTGTGCATGAGACACTAGTCACTCACTCTGCTGTTTTGCCATATCATGTGCATCTCCAGATCCCCTCACAAAGTTGTCCCCACCATACAAAGCACTGGAAGCAAAACACTTGTAATCAGTGTGGCTCTCTAACATGGCAACACTTTACAATCTGTGATGAGACAACTCATGGTGTTATAGTCAGCAACATATTGTGTGTCAATGCTTCTAAAATGAAGTACAGTTGCCTCATGTGAAACACATATTACAGCATACTCATAGGATCAGATAATTAGTGTGTACTTCAATATATTATAAATAGGTTCAAAAAGAAGTTCTTGAAACTTAAATTACTGTATATCGCCGTCTATAAAGCTACCCCACGTATAAGGCGACTCCCCTGTACAAGCCTTCAAAATCAATGCCAATTTATATACCCCCTCTATAAAGTGAATGAATGAAGCACATCACCATACACAATCCCTACATTTGCAATATAACACATGTTTGTCTTCCGCAGAAAAAAAATAAATCGTATACCTTCAGCGAAACAAACAGATCATAACAATTTAACTTGGTCAATACAAATCTGAAATTTGAGATAAAACATCACTAGACATGATGTGTGTATCGTCTCATAAACTAAGCCAGAAGTAGCAATCAGCTGTGCACATGTTTTTCGGAATCTACCGGTGATTCGGTTAAAAATTATCACATAATATAACTTTAAAGAATTTTGTTTCAATGATCGGAAAAATTGTATCTGAAACTATTATTTTATCAGGAATAATTTATTCCAATATCATGTTATTTTAATTGCCAGGTTTACTAAATATATTTGAAATAAATTAATAACCATTAGCGTAGCACTTTGGTACAGCTGATCGCTATTGCCAGATATTTTTTCGTATGGAACAATTTGACCAATCACAGTCGATGCCCCTGTGCTCGTGATAGTGAAAACTTTATGATGACATGCAATAGTCAAACTACAACAAATATGACTTTCAGCGAGTCAATGTATGGCATTTATGCTATATATATCCATTCTCTATCACAGGCGTCAATAGCGGTAATCTGACCATGGTTGCTGTAAATAATGGTGAGTTGTGCGATCTTTTTATAACCAGACAATGTAATTACATGATTAGTGTACATACTTCAGTACAGATTTGTTGACATGGTATTTCTGGTGTTACATGCTCACAGTAATGTCTTTGTGTTGAGAAAAAACGAAAAACTTGCATTATACAGTAGTACGGTAGTAAAATCTAAGTATTTTTCAACATTTGTATACTTATCCTGCATTACTTCTTAATGCATTAATCTCCCCTATGGTTGGGTACAATTGGTGAATGCAACTTTTGCTTAAATTTCAGATTTATGCTTGCTCTTTGGACTGGTTGTAGTGGCAAGAAGTCGCTAAAGGACCCTCACCCCTTGTGCCTGTACTGATTTGTGCTCAGCGGGAAGAAGGGTCAGAATTTTACAAAGAGTTTTACCAAGAATCTGCAGGTTTCCAGGAAGCATCTCAGTCAACAGACTCTACGACACATTAGGAATTTGAACTTGCAGGATGCTGTTTTACCAGAGATGCCTGCCATTACGCCCCAGCGATCACTAATTGTACCCAACCATAGGGTAGATTGATGCATTCAGGTGTAATGCAGGATAAGTAAAAAAATTTTTACAAACCTGTAGAGGTTATGAATTCTCTGATGAAATCCTCCTTGGGGCACTTATTGCATTTTCCTGGCTCAAGAAAATCTAAATGACATAGTTGTAACCATTTTCCTTAATAAAAAATGTTACCACACAAAAAACTTCGTTTTTGTATGATATACGACCACCCTTACGTGGCCTCACCCTGCACGGCGCATCACGCCAGGGGAAGCAACTCTCACCCAAATCACTTAATTTGTATTTCTTGAGCAAGGAAAATGCAATAAGTGCCCCAAGGAGGATTTAATCTGAAAGAGAATTATTAATTTTTTTACGGATAGTGAAATAATACCATCCCCTGGTTTTTTTGCCCTGCTTACATTTTTTTGTACCAACCTCTTACAACGGTATCTTTTCAACATTGTACAAGACAGATGCTTCATTTGCTTTATAAATATTCAGTAACTGACAATTTTATGTACAATATGACTTGAACATAACAAACAGTTGATAAAAGGGCTCTCCGCTTCAGAAAATCATTTTCAGCAAATAAATACTGGCCAATATGTTAGTGAGTTTTTTTCACCCAGTGGCAGTTGCCATTGTAAGCAGCAACATGTACGTCACAGACTTACTCTAGTCCATCCTTGCCAGCATTGATCTTGTATGGGTTCTCTCTCATGGATCGGGTCTTTGGGTCATAATAGGCTGAATTGGGGTCCAAGTTGTACAAATACTGCAATGAGACAAGTAAATACTCAGCATAACCTCACTGGGGAGGAAAAAGCAGTGGTTGACAGCGTGAGATATAGCATAGCTTCAGTAATATGTCCACATTCCAAATCTGTCAGACCACAATACCCCGTACAATTATAAGTCTACACTGAAGTATGAGTCAAGGGCAGTGCCTAGACTGAGGTCGACTAGAGCCATCGTCCAATCCAAAGACTATGCCAAACCGACATTATGTTCTACTGATATGCAATTCCTTCTCCCTTCGTGACAGCCCCGGTGTACTTCGGGGTACCAGGCAGGGTCTTACCTTGGCCGTGTCCTCTCTGATACGCAAGTTGCGGACTGTGATTCTCTGCTTGGTTTCAAACTTCTGACCTGGCATGTCCATTTCCTCAGCATACTTGTCTTCATTGTCACCCCCGTCCTGCAAGTGGAACAAAATATGTCACAAGGCATGTAAAATACACACAGTGGAATCTGTCTTAACCCTATTTGCATGGTTTAATTCTGGTTTAAACAATAGTCCTGAAGAGACACAAATCTTATTCCTGCAAGAGTTACGTCCCTTGGTATCCCACATGGACATTCAAGATCAAAGACACGTATGATCAATGACTTCTTTCATGAAACACTGGCAAATAGACATCAACAGGATATATACATAATAGAAATGTATATCAATGCAGTGAGGGAGCTCATGAACTTAAGAGTCTAAGACCAAAGTCTGATTCATCAACAATCCCCACCAGACAGTAGTCCAATTCGCTGGTTGCGTCTGTCTAGACTGCTGGAGTGGTCAGTGATGCCTAGTTTGACACATGTGGGTATAACTCTTGACCCCAGAAGTGATAACTCACCGAATGCCTATTGTGTAATTTATATTCTTTGAATGACATTGTTATATACTTGATACAACTGCTGCTCAATAAACTGTGTTTGTGTTTAAATTCAAGTTGGTATTTCTGCTATCCAAAGTGAGACTATCAAGAATAAGACAGCCTCACTGCACACTTTGGACATAAATGCGAAGTTTCATTGAAGACCACAAAGATGGTGGGAGGGAGGGAGGACGAGTTTCCCACTTACTTCTCTGTCATGCATGATGGACTCATCCAGCTTCTGTTCTTTCAGTGTACGTTTGGCCTGAAACACAAAATGGACAGTCAGTGATTCCTTAAATTCAAATGGCCTTCCTTCAGATTATTCCTGAAACATATGAAAGATAATGAACTACATATAAGAAAGTGTCTGTGAACAAAACAACCATCATTGATCTGGTCCTAATGGTAACATTTCACTCATTTATTGGAAATGTTTACAATAAATTGTATATATATCTACTTATCCTATCTCACACTAACATTTCTCCTTCTTCTTTCGTTCCTGGTGTGGAAACATCCTAGAACAAAGTTTCGGGCTTCAAAAAACATTTCGCCTGAACGTATCCCAGGATCACCACCACCTAACACACAGGTCAAACACTGTAATCCTGTGCTGCGACCTTAGATGACATGACATAACCAGCCACATCATTCTCTTTCTTAGAGCAGACAGGCTGGTGTAACTGTGATGAGGGGATGGTCGGGTGTGCATATAGCATGAGAGATAGGATTTATTGTAAAATTTTCAAATTTTTATACTTATCCTATCTCACACTATGCATTTGTCCCACGGTTGGACAGTGGGGTGCAAATACCCTAGCCTGTACAGACTACAACCATGAGACGTACACGAGGAAGCTAATGCTAAATCTCATGATTCTTACAATGTTCAGTGTCGTAAAGACAAAAAATCGTGTATAGGTAAGCACTATAAGAAATGATAAAGAAAACCTTTGTTTTACTAGGACATAACCATCATGATATCGAGTAATACATGACATTGTGCCAAGTGTCTTCACACAGCTTTGAAGTAGGAAGCCTATTCAGACTTGTAACCAAACCGGAAGGGGGCTTGGTGCTACAAGACAGACCCCCTGACCACATATGCTCTGAGACGTGAAGCTGATCAGGTTGGCATCTCTTTCATCCCTTTATCAAAGCTATCAAACAAGCCAGGGGTGAATGAAGCATGCTAGGACGAGAAGAGGAACGATCGACAACACCCATTAGAGGGTCTTCTAACAACTACTGAGACATTAAGTACTCCAGGCAGAGGTGAGCAATTAGAAGACATAAGTCTTTACAGATGAGACTATTTGCCCTCCAATGGGTCCAGGGGCATGAACATCTAGCCTATAGAGCTCCTATAAACCAGAGATGGTGAGTGGGAGTGGTCTCCGATACATTGATTAGCCAACCCAGCTGTTGAAGTAGCTTCTGAGTGAACTCGAGGTGCTTGACGAGAGTTGCTTGATCAGTATGGGCTTGAAAGCAGTTGTCGACGTACGCTTCGAATATAATTCCTCGACAGTGAAGGAATTGGGTAATGGGCTTTGTAATATGGGTGAAAAGCCATGGGGACCATTGAAATTCCAAACAAGAGCACCCTTCCACTGGTAATGAAGGCCTTGGAATATGAATCACAGGTAATGGTGGTGCTTCTAATCAATTGGTGCGTGAAGATAAGCATCCAGGTCAAGGCTTACCATGAAGTTCCCTGGACGGATAAACGTACATAGAAAAGAGGCGGCTTTTCGCGGTACTAAAAGTTGAAAGTCTCCATGTTGAAGATCCTCTCAGTTTGTCGCTGTCTTTCTTCGGAACCAGGAAAATCGGCAAGAAAAACCCAGGGGCCGCGGGACAGGGACCTAGACAATCTATGGCTTGTTTGGAGACCAACGTACCTATGGTTTCTTGCAGAGCTGAAAGTTTACTGGTGGCATAATCCCTCTGCAGAGGCTCAGACATGGTTGGAGGTGTCCTTGAGAACGGGAGCCTGTAGCCTTCTCTAAGGAGCTGTGTGATGAAGGGATTTGCCAAAAGGGTCCAGTTCTCTGCAAAAAATTGCCGGGGTAAATTCAGCTCCTTATGCTGCTGTTGTTCCAGCAAGTGCTGCTGCTGCAGGTTAAGAATCATCAACCGAAATCTGCAGGTGAGTCTCTTTGGTGACGTCCTGGGCAAACTCTTGGACTCTGTTTGCAAATAAGAATGGAGTGGACAAAGGTAGCTGATAGAGGCTCACCTTGAAGTGGTCTTCCCACTGGCAGGATTGTAAAACTCCACGTTGATGCATCAGCATGACTGTGCCCAGATGGTGAGATAACAGATCCATGACTCCCTGGAACTTGACATGTATTAACACAATGGTCCCCCTGATATCTGCTTCTTCTGAAGTCTTGGCGTGTGCAACAGTCATGGCTATCCTCAGTAGCAGTCATAGATAGGAGCGGGAGAGTACGACATACAGTGGTATCCAGGAGGGAGAGATCGAGGTCTTCAGTGATAAACGTGTGGGAAGATGGCTTAGGGTTCAAAGTGTAAATATAAGGGTCAACTTCGGAGGAAGCAGCCCATACTTCTCTTTACGACATATTGCAAAAGCCTAATCCAAGTTCTTAGAAAGGTCAGACTTCACTTGCTTGATCATGGAAGGCGTAGAAGAGTTGGTGCCCACAAAACCATTCATTAAATCTCTGTCCGAGTGACTTCTAGGTCTGTTCAATTTATCTGCATTCCACAGGAGAGCGTCCAACGTGTCGATGTAGTCAAAGCTAAGATGTGAAGTCTGACTTTCTCCAGTGATGTCTGTTTTGGCTTACGTAGTTTCCAACTGATCCAGATCCACGGCAATAAAAAAGAATGTCGCAGGCAGATGAAGCACCATCAGCAGTAGTCTCCCGTGCGGAAAGGTCATCCGTCTCGTGGCTGTAGTCATCACTTACAAGTGAGTGATTCAAATCCGTGGAGGCCAAAATAGTTTGGTCTCAGTGATCCCATGATGTAACCAAGTGTTGACCACTAGGCGAATCCATGCTGGTATTTGTGTCAAGGGATTGTGTCTGCTGAGTACGGTCTGGTGATGGATGACACTGAGGAGACATGCTGCATGACTGTAGATCCTGATGGCGATCCACGGTAGAAGTGCTACTTGAGTGAGTGTGATGTTAATCCCTAAGAAAGAGGTGACGATGTTGCTCCCCATGTTGATCCATAGGCAGCAGGTAGCGATACTGATCCTAAAAGCGATCCATACACGAAGGATGAAGATGTCGATCCTGATCACTAGCTCTCAGAGGTGACTAAGGATAGTTATCCGATTGTGGGTGACGATCCGAAAAAGGAGGATATCGCTATAGATCTGTATGTCGATCTGCATGATGTCCAGAAGACTGATAAGGGTAAAATTTCATGTGTCAATATCGATCAAAGTGTATCAATAACAATCCCAGCTGTGATGTCGAACCCCGTATAGATGAGGGTTGACATGTCCATGTTGATCCTCAGGTGAAAATCGATCTGGATGTCGCTTCTGATCCGATTCAATAGTTAGAGTCCTAGCTTCATGTCAGTGGTAATGCAAGGGATGATGTCGATCCGAAGGTTCGGATCAACCTTGTTTCTCATGGTGACCATGGTGATGCTGGGATGTATTAGGGTGAAATATTTTGTGAAGCTGGTAACTTTGTTCTTGGGTGTTTCCACCCTAGAATCAAGAGAAGTAGGAAAAATGCATAGTGTGAGATAGGATAAGTGTGAAAAATTCTTCATGTAAACATTACACTTCAAACCTCCAGTTAACGCTGTCAGTTCCTATGGCATTTCTGGGCTATACATACACAAAACTCCAATCTGCACAATGATGTATAGATACATGTATTAAAACCAATATACACAAACCTCTTCAATCTTGTCAAACTCTGTGATGAGTTTATTCTGATGTTCCATCAGGTCGGTTCCATTCCAGCGATCCCGTTTGCCATCGTAGTCGTGAGACAGACAGACCTGTATGTACTCGTCAGGAGCTATTTTCTCTCCTGTAAACTTGGCACCAACCTTGCGCGGTCTCTGATAATGGAATCAGATCATCAATTATTTGCAACATTCATTATTAGTTTTCAGGAATGTCCTCATGATTTGGGCTTTGACATCTGTAACAGTGAAAATATGTACATTTGATTTGTGCTCATTCCATGCAAAGCACATAAAATTATTACCCCAGTCAAAGGATCAATGTACACTGAGACTGCATTTCAAACATGGGTTTCAGTGTGTGTCAGGACTGATGCCACAGAAACTCTCAGGAGTTGGCTACTCATCGCTATCCCTGCTTATCTTCACCTAATTTGTGACCTACTGCCAAGTACCATCACAGACAGTATGTTCAAACGCTGTACAGAAACATACCTCCAGACAGTCTTTCTTCTTGTGCGTCATGGCCCCACAGTTCTCGCAAGCTCCCTTTCTAAACTTTGTTGCTACAGGACCCTGAATACCAAAACAATAACAAATTCATAAAATCTAAATATTGTTTATATTTGTATGCTTGTCCTGCATGTTGTAAGAATGTCATTAGTAACCATGGTACCACCTAATTGCAAGGACCAAATGATGTCATGACTTGGCTGGATGTAGATGTCAGATTTAAATAGGAATTCATTGTTTCATGGACAACAGAATAGGGACAAGGACTGAGTCAACTCCTTCTTGACAACTTGATACTTACTGTTGATTGTACTTGGTGGCTTCATGTCTATTTTCCTGTTGTTGGATAGTTGATGGGTGTAGGCTGATGTAGCTCCAATTGTGTATGGTTTTATGACATCTTCCAAGGCCATGTTCCTCAGGTAGTGGTAGGCGGCTCTATTAGAGCAGTTACTGTGTAGAGCTATCGTAGAGGCAACCACGTTGATCTCATGACGATTGTTAGCTCTTGGTGGATCAAGGTTTGTGATCTCATATGCCTGAAGGATGATGGCGCGCAACCATAGGGATAAGGTGTAACAGTTGACTACAGTCGTGAACGTTGGGAGATGGGAATAAACAAACGTTTCCGAGCACTACGCAGTCTTGGAGTGATCGATAAAAACTCACAGTGCGTGTGCAGGGCGCAGTAGGAGTTGCTCCTCATCTTCAGCGCCCACAATCGAGGAGAGAGGTGGGAGTGCAAAGGATCAATTGGTTTGCTGTTGATTGACAGAATGACAAAGCTGTGAGAGGTCCAACTGCAGAAGAAGTTGTTTAAACCAGTTATGTTCCATGTGACCCGGAAGTGGTGACATCACATAAGTGCACATTACTGTTTAATATGTAACATCTGAAGTCTTCATGGGGAGGTAGCACTGCGATGGGAGGGCACTAAGACGAAGTACAGCATCCTGTCAGAAGGAAATCAGGTGTGAAGAATAAGGGAAGACCAGGCCTCAAAGATAGTGTCTGAAAAAAATGGTATCGGAGCAGAGAAACACCCTTCCATAATAGACTTGATGGGGCAGTTGCTATGGAGAGCTATGGTGAATGTGATCGCCCCGATAATGTGAGGGTTGTTGGCCTTTGGGGGCTCCATGCTCATACCAGACACAGGTGATGTCTATGGCATGAATCTCGCTGACCCGTGCCGCTGTAGCCAGAGCCAAAAGAAACACTGTCTTCTTGGTGAGGTCGTAAAATGATGATGAATGTAATGGCTCAAAGGGAGCTACTTGTAGCAACTGTAAAACCACGTTCAGATCCCAGGCTGGAGGTCTGAACTTGGCTTTTTGATCTTCCAGTCAAAACGATTGCAGCAAAGCTTGTAATTATGGGATCTTCGGCATTCTGCGATCTTCCGGAATTGCTAATACCAACTTAATGGCAACCAGGTATGTCGAGATGGTAGCGCCCTTGAGGTGACGTTTGCTGTGTAGGAAGAGTGAAAATTCCGCCAAGAATTGGGGGCGAAGAAGAGGTTGGATCCTGTCGTCTGTCCTAACAGGAGGATTAAAAAAAGTGTCACTTGTTTTCGTAAAGTCCCTGCGTGGAAGATTTCTGGGCCAAAGCCTTGGCCGCCCTTGATGAGTGGCCCTTGGCACCTAAGGCTCTCTGCAAATGTACCACGCATGCAGATAAAAGATGTCGGTGACCGGATAAGGTAACCTGCTGTGTGGGTTAAGCAGAAGATTTGGCCGAACCGGAAGGTCAAGAGCATCGTCCCTGGCGAGATCTCAGAGGTCCACAAACCAACTTCTCGCCGGCCACTAGAGCACAACCAAAATCAGAACTTGGTTCTGAGTCTCCCTGATCTTCTGGAGAACCCTTGGAAGAGTACAGGAGGCAGAAAAGTGTATGCTTTTATTCCTCCCAGGGAACGCTGAGGGCGTTGACCGCCAATGCTTACGGCAATCTGGAATGTGTTGGACGAGGATGTGCAGGTGGAGATGGGCTACCAGTCAGAAGAAGCGCCACAGTGATGTTGTCTGTGGATATCCTCTGTACTGGAGGATGGACTGCCAATGAGTGGTGGCAAGAATGAGAGCTTCCAATTCTAGACTGTTGCTGTGCCAGTGACACTTCTCCTGACCACAGCCCTCAGGTCGTCTGAGCTTCCAGATGAGCTCCCCATCCTTGCTTGGAGGCGTCTACAAACAGATGTAGAGTGGGTTTTAGGAGACACCACTGAATACATTCGACGATGGAGACCAACGGAATTTGGCACCTGATGAAAGGGGAGAGGAACCGCTGGATCGGTCACAGCACGAAGATATCACCTATTAGTCAGGTCCTGCACCGAGGTGAGTAAGCCCAACAGAGGAGTGTCTGGGCTTGTTGAAGAGCTGGGAGTAAGTGGTGAAGGATCTTCTGGTACTTGTAAGAGGTCCTGGTTAGTCAGAAACAGGCCTCCGATAAATTGAAGATAGGACAGGGTGAGTTCCGACTTGGTCTCGTTGACAATCCACCCCAGCTGATGGAAAAGGCGATGGGTAAAATCCCTGTTGCAGATGAGGGTCTCTGAGCTTTGATGGTTCAGGAGACAGTTGTCTATGTAACACTCAAAGTTGATATTCCTACTGACAGGTGCAGTTAGGTGGCCACTGGCTTGGTGATATGTGTGAAAAGCCATGGGGCCATGGAAATGCCAAATGGGAGGACCGCCCAGTGGCAATGGATACAATAGAACCTGAGGAACCGCCTGTCGCTGGGGTGGATGGGCACACGAAGATATGCATCCTGGATGTCGAGAGAGTAAAGTAGAGAGTGAAGGCTTTCGGACAAAGGGGACTGCAGAAGCAACACTGAGATATTGTCAAATAGGGGGGCCGTTCAATCCAAGCACAGGAGGTGAGAATCCAATATTAGTGCCAGTGCGATCCAATATAGCACTCAGTGAACTTCCCTTTACATGCGCACTGCTTTACTGCACATTTCGTGTTAAGGTCATAGCGGCAATAGGAGCTTGTATGCTTGTTGATATTGGGAGGCCTTTTCACAGGTTGATAGTACACAACAGTTTATTTGGTTACATACAAACAAAAACACCACCCACCTGCAGTATAATTTTCAAAAGTCATTGCCTGAGAACCAATTCTTTTATTTTTTGAAGCCTAAAGTAACACTTAAAACACAAACAAGCACATAGGTCATAAAAAGACAGAATTACCAATACAAAGCAAAAGAATTCACAATGCACGAAACAAAAATATGGCCACGTAGTGAATTGAAAATGGCGGATTGGAACAACAGTACGCCCTGAGAGCCACAAACGAGCAAGAATTTATTACAAATTATGTATGGGTAATACCAAAAAGGCACAAACCATAAACAGCAACACAATAACAAGAGAAATAATAAGCAAAGGATGCTGGAAAAACTGCAGAGGCTTTATTCTTATAAACATGTCTGACTCTGTTGAGTGACCAAGCGGTAATGTGACATGACCACTTCTGGGTCACGTGGCCGCTGTGTGAGGGCACTGCCACACAACTGGTCTAAACAACTTCTGCATCTGGACCTCTCGCAGCTTTGTCTTTCTGTCAAAACACAGCAGTAAATGCAATAAGGAGTACTTTTCTAATCATGCTAATACATATATTGAATCAGATTGCAAATGTTTTAATTTTGATAGCACGTTTATAACCATACACCATTGGAGCTACATTAGCCTACACCCATCAACTATCCAACAACAGGAAGATAGACATGAAGCCACCAAGTACAATCAACAGTAAGTATCAAGTTGTCAAGAAGGAGTTGACTCAGTCCTTGTCCCTATCCTGTTGTCCATGAAACAATGAATTCCTATTTAAATCTGACATCTACATCCAGCCAAGTCATGACATCGTTTGGTCCTTGTCCATTCAATGTATCCTATACAATATTTTATTTGCAATTAGGTGGTACCATGGTTACTAATGACATTCTAACAACATCAAACTTGACGTTTAATGTTTACCAATTTCTAACCTTTGAAATCATTCAGGTAACTTTTCTCTTTCAGACATGTACAAAACTACCTTCTTTATGTAGAGTTTTGTGGCAAGTCAGCTGTCAATTAGGGCAGGATAGATATTCACTTGCTAATTTCTATATCATACTTGCTACCTTCTGGTCTTTGGAAGATACCTTGCAGGATATGTAATAAATAATCTATGAAATGTTGCACCCATTAAATTCATCATTACTCAAAACGTGAATGCAGAATCTTGGACACAATATCTACCTCCTTCAACCCTCTCTTGTTCCATTCTTCCTGTATGGAGGAGTCCCCGATGCTCTCTCCCTGTTGCCGTTGATGTCTAAGAGTTGGAGCATTGGCACCAAAGTACCAGGGAGCCTGCATGATGTACTGTGGAATGTGTGGATTGATGTCTCTGAAAAACACATCATTATGATTATTTTAACTACAATACAACAAAAGACACACTAAACAATAAAAATATATGTAGATATCAAGGATATCATGACATGATTTAGACAACAAATCATTTCTCTATTTTAATAAACATAAAAAATGCTATCTGCACCAATTAATTATGTGTCTTTTTCACTTCCATCATGAAGATAATGCCAAATACAACACTAAATATGACAACGAACAGTGACACGATGCAAAAACAGATAATTTGAAATCCAGAGTGCAAACCCCAATCTTAAACATGTTAAATGAACCAACCATACAAGAACAAAAGAATCAGAATTCATAGCACAGACGATCTTGAATGATCACATGTATTATTTTGATGCAAGGTGCATATGGTGAGATGCCTACTTCCCCTCTTCGTCCTGCATGGCAGGAGCTGTACCAGCCTTCCTCATCTCCTCCAGTTCCTTCATCTTCTTCCAGTCCTCTCGTGACTGTTTCTTTGGCTCCCCCTCCACCGACATCTCCGACTTCACCAGTTTCGCCACCACCGATGGTGGGGCATTAACTTGGAACGACATGGTCACACTAATGTGGTATATACTGAAAGGTAATAGTATTAGCAATTATTATCAATCATTACTGGTGAGCATGATGAGTAACCTGAAACCTAAAAGCATATCCTCTTAGCATGCTTAACAATGATGAATTAGCTTTTGTTTTTACATGATATGTAAGAAGCAAGCATCAGTAGTATTCAGTACTGTATAATTATATATATATATATATATAAGGTGCTATCAATCAGAAACGGGGTACAATTTACAATAATCTAACATCATAACATTTGCACATCATGCACATATTAAGACACAAGAAGTAACAATTACAAGCTCAATCATGTTAAAATGATTTGTGTGCATCATGCAAATAATCCTGATAATTGACTACATGGATTAGAATTACCGGTAATAAATATAGTTCATGTAGTTATAAAAATAGTAAGCATTGGTAAATGGACATGTTATTTATTGCCCATTCTTGTCATAGTAACCTATTACTGGTAATAGTCAGAACTAATTTTTTAAGACAGGTATTTGAAATCCTTACGACATGTGGGGTAACCAAAATACATGTAGGCCTTGTTTAATCATGGAAATTGTAGGGTCTACATAACAAAAATGGCATGTCGCAGTGCAGTCTACATACACTTGCTGTGAACATGGTAAACAATTAAGCCAAATAAAATAATGACTGACTATGCTTACTATAGAGAATCATGGTGACCGATCAATTGCTGTATTAGACAACAGTGCTACAGAAAAAAACATTGGCCCCCATGTAACACAGATTCAGTGTTATTTTTACAAATTAGTATAACAAATATTGCCAAAATTTCTGTTCCTTCAATCTGTTAAACACAGATTTCATGTTAAACAAAATAAGGAGACCTGACATTTCATATTTCCACCTGCTACACCACCTCCATTGATAAATTACTGTATCAACTAGAGAATGTACATAACCCGTGAAGATTCCGGGGTAGATTAGGTCTTCAGCAATCCATGCTTGCCGTAAAAGGCGACTATGCTTGTCGTAAAAGGCGACTAACGGGATCGGGTGGTCAGGCTCGCTGACTTGGTTGATGCATGTCCATCTATCCCAATTGCGAGGATTGATGATCATGATAACAATCAGTGGATTGTCTGGTCCAGACTCGATTATTTACCGACCGCCGTCATATAGCTGGAATATTGCAGAGTGCGGCATTAAACAAACCAACAACAACATAACCCGTGGTGTGGGTTTTCGGACGTTCAAGAAAAAATTGTAATTTTCTTGTTAATCACAAGAACAACTGTAAAACATCTCACTTTTAAAAGACGTCTTTATCTTAAAAACAGGTCATCATCTGAGTATTTACAATGTCTGTGTGACACCACACCCCTTGCTATAGCGCGAGTAATCGCGATAACCATGCCGTCCGAAAATGTATGATGTATGAAAACCAATGATCCGACGATACTCATGATCCTGGACCTGGTTTATGTTTTGCATTATAAGTTCTGCTTCGCTAATCACTAAAAGTCAAATTACTACACCTCTTTGAGGATCCTTGGATAACCAACTTAATCCTCTTATGTCAACAATAGGCTTATATGCGAAAAATTGTCTTCACATCGTTTTCCGTGCGATCGAAAGAAAACAAAACCGGAAGTAAACATTGATGGTGCTTCTGACAATGAACAACAGTAATTTTTCAATTTGGAAACAATTCCTTATATCGAAAATGACTTTTTGACTTTCGAATACCATAAATGTCTTAGGAGTTCTAGTCTTTCTAGGTTATTGATATGTCTGTTGGATGAATAAAATTTGTTATTATTTTATTATGGTTGTATGGGGTGAAATGGTACCTACGCTGGTTCCCGGCTCCCTATACGCGTCGTCAACTTGCGCTAACCATAGATTGTAATACTAGAGGCGGGGCCCAGCTTATATGTCCTTGACAAACCACTCACGCTCCTCACAGCGTACCTCGTTCCTGAGCTCAAAGAAGGTAACTCTGAACACGTGCAGGAACATGGAATATGTTATGTTGTGTCAGAAGCTTAATCAAAGTGTCATGTTTTCCCTCATAAGAAAAAGTCGGCAAATACATTCAGTGAATAGAAGGATGTTTTCGTATTCTCGGCTTCTGTGCCAAAGGAAAGAAAAACGTAATATGAAGGCTCAAAAACTGTCAGAGAAGCGGCAGTACAATGATCATTCAGATTCAGTGTCCGTGGCCATTCAGATGATGTCAAATAAGCTTCGTATGCATTCTAAACATGGAAGTTTTGAGAAGAAAATAATTTCAGGGAACGAACTTAAAAGTGCTTTGGAAGAAATATCATTGGACACAGAAGCATCTTTGAACAAAACTAGATATGAAATGTCATCGAATGACATGATCGATGAGGATAAACTGGATGATGAAATGGATGATGATGGATATTATGTTGAAACCATAACACTGGAAGATGACTACACGGAATCAACAAGCAGGAAAAGTACAAAGAGACAAGTGAGAATCTCGGGCCATCCAGATCCATCAGTGCCTAAGAGTAACATTCCCTGCTGTGGGTGTGGTGCGGAGCTTCACTGTCAAGACACTATAATACCTGGGTATATGCCAAGTGAAAAATTCAAAACTTTGACCAGAAATGAGCTAAAGCAGTCAGTGTGTCAGAGATGCCATTTGATGACACATCACGAATTATGTTTAAATGTAAAAGTTGATGCAAACGAATACCCACAAATTATATCAAAAATCAAACAAGAACGAGGTTTAGTTGTTGTTATTGTTGATCTGATGGATATTACAAATAGTATATTTCCTGATCTTTTGAAATATATTGGAAGAAGTAGACCATTGTTTATTGTTGGTAACAAAGTTGATCTGGTTCCAAAAGACCAAGCAGGATATTTAAGATCTGTCCGCCAGACTTTATTTGAAGAGTGTGAAAAAGCTGGGCTCAACTACAAAGGAAGTAACATTAAACATGTGTGCCTCATCAGTGCCAAGACTGGATATGGAATAGAAGAACTTGTGACGAAGCTGATGCAGGATTGGCAACGGCAAGGTGTGTTACCATGGTTATGTGCAATGAGCAGTAATGAGTATTTGTTCTATCTGATTTATTGTCATAGATTGACATGACCACCATCCCATTGCTGGTCTTAGGTGGCGTCTAAATTAAATTGTGTGACCAGGCTCTGACATGGCTGATTGTTTATCTTTGTGCCCTGGTCATGAATTGATATAATTCACAGTCTGCCATGATAGAGCTGGAATATTGCATTAATCAACAGTTTTTCTGCATCCGTTCTCTACACTGGACCCATATTTGTGCTTCCCATAAAATCCAGGGTCATGTTTGAGAGATCCTTCTGAAGAAGTCACAGGGCTATCCTCCCATACCTACGGCAACATGGAGACCATATTGATAAACAATGAGACCAAATATTTCATTTTGTTCGTTGCCTATTGACACCAAAGTTAAATCCTCATGATGACTACAAGTATCCTATGTCAGAAACCTATGATCGTGGGTTCGATTCACATATTCTCCATGATTATGTTCATAATGTGTGAAGCCCATTTTGTGGTGTCCCCCACCGTGATATTGCTGGAATATTGCTAAAAGCAGCATAAAACCATAATCACTCACTCATTTTATTTGTCGGCCCCTTATGGTCGTGAAAATCTGATTGCTGACTACATTTGTATATGAACTTTAGCTGAAATGAAGTACATAGTCACTAATACCCAATGAAATGATTTCACTGAACTACCTGTATCCTTGGGTGTTCCAGGTCACGTGTTCCTAGTGGGCTGCACCAATGTGGGCAAGTCTTCTGTCTTCAACGCCCTTCTTCAGACTGACTACTGCAAGGCCAAGGTGCGAGACGTCATTCAACGGGCCACCATCTCAGTATGGCCAGGTGAGCGAATTCTGTTGTTCTCTAGGGCCCCTGTGAGGTCCCCTACCAACAACTTGGGGTCCCTAGCAACTGATGATTGTCATACAAGGCGACTTAATGGACTCAGACTCGGTGACTTGGTAGATTGCGTGACATCATGCCAGAACATGTGTGAGATGAATCGTTGTTCATAATATTAATCCCTGATTTTTCTAGTCCAGAATTGAGGCACATAGACTCATTCCTAAACATCCTCCAGATGTCTGTTGCATTTCCTGTTAAGGGCTTAATGCATAAACCATTCAACATGTTCAGTATTTCTCCATTGCTATCAGGAAATATTTAAATAATAATATCTTGCATTTCCCAACGAGTTTTGTTAAGTAACTATGAATTAGCTAAAAGGAATTTAACATTAGCCAATCAGAAAGAGCTTTCATGAGCTTAACATCACTACTTTCAAAATGGCGACTACTCTTTGAAAAATCTTTTGACATAGTTTTCGATTTCTAATTTGAAAAACTGAAGCAATATAATTATGAAATGTCTTATTGATGTCCGAGATTGTGTGGCAGTATTTTCAGATGTTTATCCCATTAAAGTGAGAGATAAAATCAGTTGTACAGCCTGTAGCTGTTTACTTTTTTAATGTGTTGCATGATTACAAAATACAATCAAACTTTCACTTTCATGATCACATAAATGATGCTCTGTATGGTCGGGTGAAAGATGGTTCTGATGTGACCTGAAATAGGATGTCCTCAGTTTTTTATGTTGTGAATGTGAGCACTAAGGTCTTATGTTAATGAGACGATTTAGAGCTTTTGAAGTATATGTAGCCTTGTTATCAAATGAAAAGCCCAGCTGTCTATTGCACAGTACCACTACTAATTCATATCCTTTGAATGTATTTGAAGTATTCAAGGAATAGAGGGAGTCATTTGGCTTAGCCATTAATCAAAATGTCAGTGGTACTCACAAGCTGTAGGAATAACCCTTTTTTTTGTAACAAGGTATATGACATACGTTTTGTAATTTTGTGCATACTTAATATTTTATGCATATTTCATATTTTATGCATATCCTTCTTGTTGAATGTTGTGTAAATGTCTTCAGGAACAACCCTGAATCTACTGAAGTTCCCCATCATCCAGCCCGAAGGCTGGCGCATCCATAAACGCTTGCAGAAGCTGCAGCAGACTAGGTCAGAGCATGAGGAAGAGGTTAAGCTGCAGAGGACCAAATTGAAGGAGAAGGGAATGCCGAAATATGCCCCACTCCAAGGTCAGAAAATGTGCTTTACATTTTTCATTCCTAGGCCAGTGGCAAACATATAAAGTACAAAATGGCAGGTGTATACATAATTAGTGAAAAATTATCATTAGAAAAATTATGATATTGTGATAACTAGCATTTAGTGACCATGGTGATACAGATTTTTATGATGAAATGAAAATGTTATTTGAATTATTTATCCATGCCAGGGGTCCGGAAACCGTCATATGCGCCGGACATGTACGATTTGGAATCTCAAATGTCCGGTTTAAAATATTGCTTACCGGGCATTTAAATTTTTCTGTCCGGACATTTTAAAAAGTATTGTCCGGACATTCTTAAATTTTGACCGGACATGATCAACAGTTAGGACTGAGCAGTATCTGTCTGCAGTTGTAACACAATGAAGATTAACTACACTGACAAGCTTTGTTTGTTTTGAGTGCTGTAAATACATCGTACCTACATGATAGTCTAAACAGTCAATCACTGTAATAGGCAATAAACTGAGTTGACACTGATTAATCAAGGATTAATTACTGAGAAACATCTTGTTAATTTGAGTGAAAGGTGTTTACAACTGTACATAAATACCTTGCATCATCGATGTACCTCATTATCCTCACAATGCTACGATACGTAACCTCAGACAAGAAGCGAAAGCGTGACGACAGCCAGTCGACCGATGCAGATCAGTCGAGCGGATCTGCCAAACCCTCAAAGTCTGGACGATCATTTTGTAAGTCGTGGCTAACGACTTTCACTTGGTTGACATACAATGAGGATTTGCAGATTTTATTGTTTTCACTAGCTAGTCGTATATTGAATCTTGATTGACCACCGTTTTGCTTTCTGTGACGATCGATATCAAATTTTTTTATGGTCAATAATTAAGTACAGATGAAAAAAGTATTCAAATAACTATTGCTATCAACGATATTTTAGTATTTGTGATTATATTATCTGTCTTGTTTTTAAATAATCTTTAGTTTAAAAAAAAACTTTTCCCGTGAGGTCACGTGATAACCAAATATGGGATAATAGTCTCGATCCAAATGTTACAACACGTACACTTGAGCAGACTCATGAATATAACTCATGAATATTAATTAGACCGTTCACTACGTTAACAGATCGTTATTATAACAGAAACAAACGTATGTTTTCCATGTACATCTAAAATGATATTATTTGTTATTAATTGTCCGGTGAATTAAATAATTTAAATTGAAACAATTCATAATTCATCATATTATGAATGCGTAACAACTTGTAATGTGTGTGAAAAGTCGTACTAAAATACGCTATTTGAAGGGAGCGTGGCCTAAATGCAAATGTCCGATTGGGATTTTAAATTTTCTGGACCCCTGATCCATGCACAATAATTGAAACTGTTAAATATTTGTTATTGTCCAAACCACTGTTATTGGAGAAGACATTTTCCAATTCCCAAACCCCTAGTTATGCATAGGTCATCTTGGCCAGACAGATTCCCGCTTAGAGCAAGAAGTGAAGAAGAAAGAGAAGGACCTGGATTACGAAGGGCAAGAACTTGTGAGCTTCTCAATGTCAAGGTCAGGAAACCTTCAGGAACTGTCTGGTCGCCAAAACAACAGAGCATGCCAACCCCATGACATGTCTGTGCTCGGGAAGTTGTCACAGAGCAGATGGACGTATGACACACCAGGTGTGGTCAACCCGCAACAGGTGGGTCACAATGGAGTCTGCAGCAAAACTATTCACGATCCTCGTTTGACATTTCCAAATTCATTATGTGAATAGCTAAAATTCTGCAAAACACTTGACAGAAATCTGTGAGGTTTTTTTCCAAATATGGATTATCGATAGACTTGTCCCAGGGTATACATGGAATGAGTGGAGTATGCTGGTTCTACATATAGGCCTTTTGGGTTTCGAGTGAGGAGTCGGCAAAATGCCAGCTACATCATGACAGCCTGTACAGTGAAATCTATGTGAGCCACACCATTGAAACCTTATTAAACTTGACAAATTTGTTTATTGAAAATATAATTTTTTTTACCTACCCCGCATTACTCCATCTACTGCTTACCTTATGACAGAAAAAAGGCTGTGCGATGGTCTGGCTGAAGAAATAGAAAAGTTGTTCCGATCTAGTCTGAAGCCTGATCCTTACACAGCTGCCACATGACCAAACGGAAGTGATGACATCACAGAATCTTCATGTTCCTGCTTGTCACCAGATAGACATGTTGTGTCTACCTTTGGTCTTCAAGTTTTGGCTTTAAACCTATGGTCGGTTTTTGAAAGTCAGTTTCTAATACAACATCAACTTTTCTTTGTGTAATTTATGCTTGCACACTTTATTATTTGTCATGGTAAAAAGTCTGCTAAAAATCCTAACCCACGGTGTCTGGTTTGTACGCCAGATTTAAAATGTAATTTTTATTCACCTCTCTCCCTGTCAAGTTACACAAGATACAGACAGGTATCACGTAAGCATATTGTTCAGCAGTTCCTACGGCACACTAGAAGTATGTCCGACTCACAGGACTCATTCCTCCAGTAGTCTCTGGCCATCATGAATCAGCCCTATACAGCAGGTAGGGCTTTACCCAGGGACAATCGACATTCCTTTGCCACCCCCGTGCACCTAGGCACCAGGCACAGTTGTAAGTTTGACACCTAATTCTACCTTTCAGGCGCTGCTGTCTGCTCCCGTGATGATGCCAGCTATGCCTTTCCTTGCGTCCTACGGCGCTTCCACAATAGAGTCAAATGTCATAGGAGATGTCTCCTTAACAGAGTTGGTACCAACATTACACCTGTCCGTAGACTCCTCTCTACAGGGTTGGGGTGCTCATCTAGAGGACCAGCCGACTTAGGGCTGTGGTCTGACCGCTGCGCTCATGGCACATCAACAACCTCGAGTTGGAGGTGCTCATTCTGGCAATATCACATTGGCAGGAGCATCTCCTGACCACTCAACTCTCCATCTCCACCAACAACAGCATGGTGGTTTGGTGCCTGCGCTACCAAGGGACAACAACACACACTTACTCCCTGCTTCAGACGTTTCGGTTCTTTCATCTGGTAGATCGTCAGGGTCTACAATTTCTAGTCCAGCACATACCCGGATGTCAGATTTTGATAGCACCCTGGTTGCCGGTGAGGGGGTGGTTCGTAGACCTCAAAAATCTAGCAGAAAACAATCCACTGCCCCTACCAGAGTGGTCAAACCTACTCATCCACCCTCACAGCAAGTTGCCACACCCAATGCCAGGCAGGTTTCATTTACACACCTGGTTCATCTCAAGAGAGCCCTAGACGCTAAAGGCTAATTTTCCCTAGTGCACGGCCCCTCTACCTGAGGCTTATATGATAATAAGTGGCTGTCCTTAAAAGCGTTCTTTAAAGAGAAGAATCAGGATCCCACTACAGCGTGGCTTCAGTTCTTGGCCGAGTACCTCCTTCATTTGCATACCAAACAACACTTGAAAGGCAGCACCATTACAACATACTTCAGTGTTGGTAATTCAGGAGGATCGTAAGATGACCAAAGTTTTGGAACTACAAGCCCTCCTAAGCTCATTCAAGCTTGCGGATCAGAAGGCCATATTTCGAGCCCCGTCCACTGCTTAGGATCTGAATTGGTCCCACCACGCAACATCCTTTTGAAACCTCACCAGGAAGAAGATTTTTCTCTTGGCCAAAGCCACAGCAGCATAGTTCAGGCATATGAGATCGCCAACCTTGATCCACTGAGAGCTAACAATCCTCACGAGATCAAGGAGGTCGCCTCTACCATGGCTCTACAGAGTAACTGTTCTATTAGAAGTATCATTGAAGGATACTTTTGGAGGTCCCACACTGTCTTCACCAGCCATTATCTGAGAGCTGTGACACGAGATGTTGAGGGAATGCGCTGCTTTTGCCCTTTGATTGTAGCCCAGCAGGAAAACAGTCCCCCGACGCCAATGTCGCACCCATTGTCACGAGTATTACCAATCTGCATAGATGACATGCTATATGGTTTCCTCGACACTTTTTGTGTTATGAGGATTTATATATATTGAGGAATAACATCTGTCGGTATGCCCTCCATCTGATACAATGCATTCAGGAGTTATGCTTTATAAGTTAAAGAAATAAGTAAAATCTAAATATTTTTTACATTTGTATATTTATACTGCATTACTACGTCTAAGGGCCAACCCGTCGCAGACCTGCTTCCCCACTATATGTTCAGATGAAATTACGTATGACAAGCAGGAATATGAAGATCTGTGACGTCATCACTTCCATACAGTCATGTGGCAAGCCGTGTAGGGTCAGGCCTCAGACATGATAAAAACATCTTTTTATTTCTTTAGCCAGACTATCGCACAGCTTTGTTTCTGTCATAAGGTAAGCAGTAAGGTTAAACTATGTAGATTTTACTAATATTGAATAATAGGATCACTAATATTTGGCCAAAGTACCTGATACTAATACCACAGTCAACAGATCGATATGCTCTTGAAATACATTCTCTGCGCCATGCGGAGTGTAGGACTCAAGCTGCTGGTTAAGCCCCTTGAAGGTTTGTCATTGCCACCTCATTCAGATACCCAGTTGCTGCTGGGGGATCACGGCACACCTGAAGTAACATTGACAATTGACAAGCTCTATAGGAGAGGATGTGTGTGATGTGTCTGTGTGTACTAGGGCTGGGACGGGTAACTCGGGTACCCGGGTCGGGTGGGTACTGAGTAGGACCTGGGTACCCACAGGACTACCTGGACCCGTGGTTAGTCATGTGATATATAGTTTAACGACAAAAATTATCTAGAACTTTATGGTTACACAGCAAGTCACCAATGTTCGCATTTCTTTTATGACTATGCACCCATTCCTTCTGACTTTTCATATGGTTAAAGATATAACTTAAGTCAACTTCAGTGTATGCATGACCAGATTGTTTTATACGTGTATCTAAATACGTTTTGCAAGTGCTGTAAATCGGACATTTTGTATCTCTTGAGACCTACAGTGGGTACCCGGGTAGGGTCGGGTAATAGGGGGGTAGGGTCGGGTAATAGAGGGATGTGTAGCTTGGTAGTAAATTTGGACTCGTCCAAACCCTGATGTGTATATACTTTGTGTAATAATCTTGTTTCAAGAGCAGCCAGTCACACATAAGGGAGATTACTCTGTCTGCCTTAAGAAATGACAGATCTCTGAAAGACTGAAATCCTTGTACAGGACTTTGTACATGTTCTATCCCCGACAGGTTGTGTCCTTGTTTGCCTCAGTTTTGACAGACAACCACCTGTTTATTATGCACATAGTGTCTCTATGCTAAAGGTCAAGGCCCTTTTTTTAACCTTGTCCCTTTTCTTCATGACACTCCCCATGACACCAAAGTAATGCAAACAGTGTCATCCCCCTCATTTATTTTTGTGTGTGATTATTTTGGCCTACCAAAGTGATTTGGTCGTTAACATTTCTTACACCTTGAATTTTCAAAGTCGTGGCCAAATGTGAAGATTATCCATTGTGGATTTATTGAAGTCTTGTTTGTCCACTCCTGACCCTGTAGATTCTGACCCTGCTGACCCCAGAGGAGTTGAAAGTCATCCTTCACAAGGTGGTGTCAGCACCACGCGTGTTTGTCCTGAACCAGTCACAGACGCTGTTTGTCTCAGGCCTCAGCAGGATTGACTATTGTCAGGTGAGATACTCACCTTGTACTATATGACATGATAACTGTAACCATGATAACTAGATGTGTAAATTGCAGTCATCTTTATATACAGTCGAACCTTGCTTTTTCGGACACTTGCCTTTATTTCAAATATTGTCCAGATAAACAAATTTCGGGATAGCTGAATCCCTTGTCAACTGACCAGAGTTACCTCCCCTACCCAAATTGTAAAGAGGCAAAAATGACCTCTATTATATTATGCATATGATTTTTCGAGTATTAAAAAAACTGCATCGTTTCCCTTCCTGTGAAATTTGTGATAAGACATGAACCTGATTTACCATTAAGTTGAATTTCCTGTTCTGCTAGGTATTGATTTTTCATATGCAGGAATTAAGAATGCCGTGTAATTTTTCTCGTAAACTAAGCCAGAAATAGCAATCAGCTGTACACACATTTTCCACTCTACCGGTCATTCGGTTAAACAAAACTCAATAACATAACTTTGTAGTATTTTTATGCCATGATCAGTAGGGCTGGCTAAAAAGATTGTGATGAAATATTAACAATTATCGATATGAAATTGATAATAACTTACATAAACTATTGTGATGAAATAAAGTTTAGATTTACTGAAACAGACTTGTTATTGTCAATAATGTCAATTGTCGAAAACGTCAACAAAGTAATGTATGCAGAAATGTGTCACTGCTCACCACTGCTGTGAAATACCCGGTATGTAGATTTCTTTCAGGGACTTTCTTACATATTTCCCTTGAAGTTACTTCTCCGATATTTATCAATAATTATCTCTTCACCCTCTCTACACCTTCTGCACACACCCTGTACACCCCCTGTATGCCCCTGTACACCCTCTCAACACCCCCTGTACATCCCTGTACACCCTCTCTACACCCCCTGTATGACCCCTGTACACCCCCTGTACACCCCCTGTATGACCCCTGTATGACCCCTCTATGACCCCTGTACACCCCCTGTACACCCCCTGTATGACCCCTGTACACCCCCTGTATGACCCCTGTATGACCCCTGTACACCCCTGTATGACCCCTGTACACCCCCTGTATGACCCCTGTATGACCCCTGTACACCCGCTGTATGACCCCTGTACACCCCCTGTATGACCCCTGTACACCCCCTGTATGACCCCTGTACACCCCCTGTACACCCTCTGTACGACCCCTGTACACCCCTGTACATCCCCTGTATGCCCTTGTACACCCCCTGTATGACCCTGTACACCCCCTGTATGACCCCTGTACACCCCCTGTATGACCCCTGTACACCCCCTGTACGACCCCTGTATGACCCCTGTACACCCCCTGTACGACCCCTGTATGACCCCTGTATGACCCCTGTACATCCCTGTACATCCCCTGTATGCCCTTGTACACCCCTGTATGCCCCTGTACATCCCCTGTATGACCCCTGTACATCCCCTGTACGCCCCTTGTATGACCCCTGTACACCCCCTGTACGACCCCTGTACACCCCCTGTATGACCCCTGTACACCCCCTGTACGCCCCCTGTACACCCCCTGTATGACCCCTGTACACCCCCTGTACACCCCCTGTATGACCCCTGTACACCCCCTGTATGACCCCTGTACACCCCCTGTATGACCCCTGTATGACCCCTGTACACCCCCTGTATGACCCCTGTACACCCCCTGTATGACCCTTGTACACCCCCTGTATGACCCCTGTACACCCCCTGTATGACCCCTGTACACCCCCTGTACAACCCCTGTACACCCCCTGTACGACCCCTGTACACCCCCTGTATGACCCCTGTACACCCCCTGTACACCCCCTGTACGACCCCTGTACAACCCCTGTACACCCCCTGTACACCCCCTGTATGCCCTTGTACACCCCTGTACACCCCCTGTATGCCCTTGTACACCCCCTGTACACCCCCTGTACATCCCTGTACACCCCCTGTATGCCCTTGTACACCCCTGTATGCCCCTGTACATCCCCTGTATGACCCCTGTACGCCCCTTGTATGACCCCTGTATGCCCTTGTACACCCTGTATGCCCTTGTACACCCCTGTATGACCCCTGTACATCCCCTGTACGCCCCTTGTATGACCCCTGTACACCCCTGTATGCCCTTGTACACCCTGTACACCCCCTGTACGCCCTTGTACACCTCCTGTACCTTTGTATACCCCTGTACACCCCCTGTATGCCCTTGTACACCCCTGTATGCCCCTGTACATCCCCTGTATGACCCCTGTACGCCCCTTGTATGACCCCTGTATGCCCTTGTACACCCTGTATGCCCTTGTACACCCCTGTATGACCCCTGTACATCCCCTGTACGCCCCTTGTATGACCCCTGTACACCCCTGTATGCCCTTGTACACCCTGTACACCCCCTGTACGCCCTTGTACACCTCCTGTACCTTTGTATACCCCTGTACACCCCCTGTATACCCCTGTACACCCCCTGTTTGCCCCTGCACACCCTCTGTAATCCCCTGTAACCCTCTTTAACCACCTGTACATCCCCTGTACACCCCCTGTAACCCCTGTATGCCCCTGTACACCCTCTGTAATCCCCTGTACACCCTCTGTAATCCCCTGTACACCCTCTGTAACCACCTGTACACCCCTGTACACCCTCTGTAACCCCCTGTATGCCCCTGTACACCCTCTGTAATCCCCTGTACACCCTCTGTAATCCCCTGTACACCCTCTGTAATCCCCTGTACACCCTCTGTAACCACCTGTACACCCTCTGTAATCCCCTGTACACCCTCTGTAACCCCTGTACACCCTCTGTAACCACCTGTACACCCTCTGTAACCACCTGTACACCCTCTGTATGCCCCCTGTAACCACCTGTACATCCCCTGTACACCCTCTGTAATCCCCTGTACACCCTCTGTAACCACCTGTACACCCTCTGTAACCACCTGTACACCCTCTGTAACCACCTGTACATCCCCTGTATGCCCCCTGTAACCACCTGTACACCCCCTATAACCACCTGTACACCCTCTGTAACCACCTGTACATCCTCTGTAATCCCCTGTACACCCTCTGTAACCACCTGTACACCCTCTGTAATCCCCTGTACACCCTCTGTAACCACCTGTACACCCTCTGTAATCCCCTGTACACCCTCTGTAACCACCTGTACACCCTCTGTAACCACCTGTACACCCTCTGTAATCCCCTGTACACCCTCTGTAACCACCTGTACATCCTCTGTAATCCCCTGTACACCCTCTGTAACCACCTGTACACCCTCTGTAATCCCCTGTACACCCTCTGTAATCCCCTGTACACCCTCTGTAACCACCTGTACATCCCCTGTACACCCTCTGTAATCCCCTGTACACCCTCTGTAATCCCCTGTACACCCTCTGTAACCACCTGTACATCCCCTGTACACCCTCTGTATTCCCTGTACACCCTCTGTAACCACCTGTACACCCTCTGTAACCACCTGTACACCCTCTGTAACCACCTGTACATCCCCTGTATGCCCCCTGTAACCACCTGTACACCCCCTGTAACCACCTGTACACCCTCTGTAACCACCTGTACATCCTCTGTAATCCCCTGTACACCCTCTGTAACCACCTGTACACCCTCTGTAATCCCCTGTACACCCTCTGTAACCACCTGTACACCCTCTGTAACCACCTGTACATCCTCTGTAACCACCTGTACACCCTCTGTAACCACCTGTACACCCTCTGTAACCACCTGTACATCCTCTGTAACCACCTGTACACCCTCTGTAACCACCTGTACACCCTCTGTAACCACCTGTACACCACCTGTACATCCTCTGTAACCACCTGTACACCCTCTGTAACCACCTGTACATCCCTGTACACCCCCTGTAACCATCTGTACAACCCTGTACACCCTCTGTAATCCCCTGTATGCCCCTGTACACCCTCTGTAACCACCTGTACACCCTCTGTAATCCCCTGTACACCCTCTGTAATCCCCTGTACACCCTCTGTAATCCCCTGTATGCCCCTGTACACCCTCTGTAACCACCTGTACATCCTCTGTAACCACCTGTACACCCTCTGTAACCACCTGTACATCCTCTGTAACCACCTGTACACCCTCTGTAACCACCTGTACATCCCTGTACACCCCCTGTAACCATCTGTACAACCCTGTACACCCTCTGTACACCCTCTGTAATCCCCTGTACACCCTCTGTAACCACCTGTACACCCTCTGTAACCACCTGTACACCCTCTGTAATCCCCTGTACACCCTCTGTAATCCCCTGTATGCCCCTGTACACCCTCTGTAACCACCTGTACATCCTCTGTAACCACTTGTACACCCTCTGTAATCCCCTGTACACCCTCTGTAATCCCCTGTACACCCTCTGTAATCCCCTGTATGCCCCTGTACACCCTCTGTAACCACCTGTACATCCTCTGTAACCACCTGTACACCCTCTGTAACCACCTGTACATCCTCTGTAACCACCTGTACACCCTCTGTAACCACCTGTACATCCCTGTACACCCCCTGTAACCATCTGTACAACCCTGTACACCCTCTGTACACCCTCTGTAATCCCCTGTACACCCTCTGTAACCACCTGTACACCCTCTGTAACCACCTGTACACCCTCTGTAATCCCCTGTACACCCTCTGTAACCACCTGTACACCCTCTGTAATCCCCTGTACACCCTCTGTAACCACCTGTACACCCTCTGTAATCCCCTGTACACCCTCTGTAATCCCCTGTACACCCTCTGTAATCCCCTGTATGCCCCTGTACACCCTCTGTAACCACCTGTACACCCTCTGTAACCACCTGTACACCCTCTGTAATCCCCTGTACACCCTCTGTAACCACCTGTACACCCTCTGTAACCACCTGTACACCCTCTGTAATCCCCTGTACACCCTCTGTAACCACCTGTACACCCTCTGTAACCACCTGTACATCCCCTGTATGCCCCTGTACGCCCTCTGTAACCCACTGTACACCCTCTCTACACCCCAGTGCGAAATATGGAGTGATTAGTAAAGTGGTTACCGCGCCTCTTGATCTTTTTCTGCCATTTTGAACTTCATGCAAATGAAGGCAATTTATTATTATGCACCCATGTCACATACAAGTAACTTATTAAATCAGACAGCCAATTTGAAAAAGAAATCTGATCGGACTGGTCAGAAAGATTTTACTTTTCCCCACTGTATAGTTTTTGGCGTAAGAGTACAAGTCCGCCACAGAGTTTTTTGTTCAAGTATTACATACGTTTATCGACTGTGTGTCATGGCGATTTAGCACGGCGCTAGAGACAAAACGACAGCGCAGATTGTCTTTTTGTTTATGATGCTGATTTACAGAAAATATTCAAATCGAAGATATGGATGGCAAGATCGTTAATATTAAGGTGGTACAGTGTATATTTATGGACAGGAAGTTCATGATCAAAACCTAAACATTGAAAGGCCAAGCCCGAAGTGATCAACAGGGCACGTTCGCATCATATCTGTGCCGCGATTTCTTGTCTACCGGTTGTCCTACATGCTCGCCAATTTAGACAAATAACTGTTGCTTTTTTCATTTGAAATGAGTCATGTGTTATTGCTCAAACTACCTGACCACGTGTGTGACTTGCCCTAACTGTTTCACAGTTCGTCGCAAAAGGAGATTTCAAAAGTGTGGCCACGACATCTAACGTGAAACAACGCCATATTGTAAACAAATTGTGTCAAGGTCGGTCCCACCTGTGGTAGCTCGGCCCCCGTTTCTGTCGATGGTACACGCGATACAAACATAATACAACAACTGAAAACATCAACATAACTTCTACAATGATGACTGCAATACCTTTTTATCCCCCCCGGGATATAATGCGGGGGGATATAGCGATCAGCCAGTCTGTCTGTCCGTCTTTCCGTCCGTAATCATTTCCTTTTCCGGGGCAGAATTCGAAAACCATTCAGTGTATTTGATCGAAACTTGGCAAAGCTATCAGGCACTTACTGAAGTGGTGCCTTTTGATATATTATTTTTACAAATTTTTATTTTTTACAATTTTTATGGAATGAAGTTGGACCTAGACTCCATTGGGGAACGGGTTCGTTTACAGGCCAGAATTCGAAAACCATTCAGTGGGTAAACAATGTATGCTTCTTAAAGAACATTCAACTGTTGACTCATTACATACAGAATTGCACATTTACTAGTGGTTACTTTACAGACAGCTGCCGGGGGGATATGTCATCTTTCTGATGACTCTTGTTGTATTTGGGTTAACCGCTTATGGATACGATGTGCTGTTAAGTTCGATTTCTATTTGTTTTTCCTTTCATTGAAACTGTGATAATGGCGCTGTGATTGGTTTGCTGAAATAGTATTTTTCTTGAGTCTAATGTACATGGTACATGCTCAGAAAATGGAATATATTATCATAACACGACAGCTCGTATTTCCAACATTCTGCCATGGATATTAGATCTAATATTAATATTCGATTTACAAATAATTGATGTACACTGTACTCTCGATTAACGTATGATAACCTATTGCAAGTCTTCAACTCTTATTATCCCCCGCCACGAAGTGGACAGGGGATATAGGAATGGGTGCTGTCCGTCCTTCCGTCCTTCCATCCATCCGTCCGTCACATTTCGTTTCCGGAGAAGATCTTGAAAATTGTACCACATTTCTTCACCAAACTTGGCACATAGAAAGGTCAAGTGGTGAACTGGTGCCTTTTGATAGTTTGGGATTTTTAAAGAAATTATTTTTCGAGTTTACATGGCGATGACTTTGATTTAGACTGAAAATGGCGGTAGTCCTCGTTTCCGGAGCAGATCTTGACACCGTACCATATTTCTTAACCAAACGTGGCACATAATGTCATCTCGCAGTATTGAAAACATTTCCTTTCTTGTTGGTAAGTTCTGCATTGCTTGTGTGTATGTTCCTCCAAAAGTGTCATGGACACGGTTGTTGCATTCATTTACCATGCTTACTAACTTCATGCAGAAACACAACTCATTACAACAATACAGTGTAACTGATCTTAAACCTACTCAACTGTATAAACACTATATATTCTTGTCAACCATACTCTGTACTTCACTTGCTTGATAACGGTGTTAGAACCTACACTGAAACCATCGCTCCTAATTGTAATAAAGAAGTTGTTCGTCCATGTGTCTCATCCTTACTCATTGCAAATACAGTTACATATTCTATCATAGACTGCAGATGGCAAAACAACACCAGTAATAACTTTTTTTAGTGCTGCAATTAGGCCATTTACTAAAAGGCCCAGTGAACATAGTTCACAGGAGCTAATGAATTGCACACAACGAAACATTGCATATTGGCGGGAATATTAGTAACATTAGTATTTCAGGCTTGTTTGATATGTTATCTGAAATGTCAGCAATGAATAAACTTTATTTTATTTCATTAAAATCTGCAATTTTATTTGAATAGGCTAATAGACAGTCGGTGATTCCCGCCGCTGTGATTTTGTCATCTGGACAGATGCGCGTGATTTGACCTCGCGTGTTGTGACGTGGATGTCGTCACATGAAACCGCTGATCTAATGTTGTGGTAGTATAATGGATACACATGGTTTCATTTTCCAAATAACAATATTCTCTTTGACTAAACTAGAAAGCATATCTAGTACATCACGATTGGAAAATGTCCATGGTGACCGACGAGTGAATGAGACCGCTTATCATTTGACTAACAGTTTTAGAATATTTGGCGCAGTTTTCTAATTTTGGTATGTTGACATGTGCTTTTCATATCTGTTTGAAGGCTTGATATTTCAAGAAAATAATGTGCATTTAGTTGCAAGGGAATGGAATGTTTCAGTGAGAAAGCTGTCAAAATGGATTCAATATCAAACAACCTAGATTTTTAATATTTTAGCTTCATCTATTAGAATCTCAAATGGATCAATTTATAATATCAGTGTTCAGTAAAAGTAATTAGATCTACTCACAATATATAGATAATTGATTTAAAAAATGTCAAAATGTTTCCAGTGTAATTGTGATTTCGTTTTGATGTTTTATATAGTTTTATTTGGTTTTTTTCACTCTGCATTATTTAAAATACCAAATACTTTGATCAGTGACATAGAAGTAATTACTTTGTTTTGTATCCTTAGTATGAAATAGATTTTATTTTTAATTAAATATTTGTCTAAGAGCAAAATCCAAGCATTCTAGTTTGTTGTTCTTTTTTCACCATTTTAATTTGTATATATTCCCTCCAAGCTGTAGTTTAGCTAGGCCAAAATTAAGAAAAAAAGTAAAGACATAATAACTGAAAACCATTTACAGTAAAGATTTTGCTGGTTAAATTTCGAAGTTCAATACCATGAATATATTTTTCCTTTTATGACAAATAATTCCATTACTTTCATTGACCTAAGATTATTATCTATTTCAAACTGTTCCTTTAGTAGAATTGGATGGAATGGGAGACTACTGGAAATAAACTATCATGTATGTCCTTAAATGTACATGTACATACCTAGGTGTAAATACACTTCTAAAGTCGTATTTATAAAACAATATGAAAGAAAAAGTTGTATTTCATGGACTGGCCATACACATGATACAACTATATTTTGAGCAAAGGTCTAATTAAGTAAGACAGCCAAGTGTGGAATACTAGCTGAGACGAGGATGTATGTTTTCTAGTGATCAAAGTGAAACAAATGTGTTCAGAGTTTTGAGCACATGAACTGTTTATACATTGAACTCTACTTTAATCAAAGTCATTCACATTTTCGTAATTTTCTCTTTCACTTATTCTAGGTATTATTTATAATTGTACCGTAAAACAATAACATGCCTTCTTTCACCTGTACTGTGCAAGTTATCGTTTCCTTGTATTAGATATAGCCTAATCTACTCTTCTTGAGCTTTCAAATTCAAGTATTAAAATTGTCCAATTACATCTTGTTTCAAGCTTTATATAAGTTAGAATTAAACCATTAACAACACATCATGACACCTGAAGTATCAATAATTGGTATGTGTGATTGCACAACGAAGCAATGACATATGGCGCCCGAGTTGCGAGTGATCAAAAAGAGGTTTGTTGAATAGATTAGCTGTCCATGAAAACGTTTCAACAATTTTTATTAAATATACATGTACTTACTCTTGGGTGGTACGTTAGTATAAGCTGACTGACGTCCAGGCACTTTTTTACTTTTTTGGGTAGGGGCGGTCAGGTAGCCTGGTGGCTAAAGTATTTGATCATCACGCCGAAGACCCTGGTTGGATTCCCGACATGGGTACAATGTGTGGAGCCCATTTCAACACTTAGACTGCGTCCAAAAAGCATCCCAAAATAGTCCAGTACATGTATAAGATAAAAATTATATTAGCCTGTTTGCAGTGCAAGGAGAACCTTAATTTATGTTTTTTAATTTTCATTAATTTTACCTTTTTAAATTCACAAGGACTAGGAATGTATTGCCATCCACAGGCCAGTTGACTATTGGTAATATCTGATGCAGTCCTTGTATACAGGCATATGTAGAAAGGTATGAAAAGGACATGATGTTAAAGCTGCTGTGGCTGTTGCAGGGTGAGCGGTCAATATTCCTCACAGTGCACTGTTCCCCTGACCTCCCTGTACATGTGAAGGACACAGTTGATGCTGACAGCTTCTATGAAGAGAAGATCGGGACTAAAGCATTTGCTGTAAGTGTTCTGAGTCATTTTTAATCAAAGAGGCCAATATATATTATAAAATCGCACTAATTGTTATTTGATTGACCCACACATTCCTGACCTATTTGTTTGCGTGTACACCTACTACCAAGGTGCTGCACAACAATATCTCATTCCCTACTATAAGTTTCATGTGCTGCAATGAAGTTCTGCTCAGGTTCCTAACTGTGTACTTTGTACTGCCTCACTTTTAGGAGTAATAGACAAGGACGAAAAGGGTGAACAGAGTAGAATGCATGTGATATTTACGTCTGACGTGTATTTTAGGTCTGTCTTGCCTCCCCGCCTTGGTCCCCCGCCAGGGCTCATCCTTGGTCCCCCGCCTTGGTCCCCCGCCAGGGCTCATCCTTGGTCCCCCGCCTTGGTCCCCCGCCAGGGCTCATCCTTGGTCCCCCGCCTTGGTCCCCCGCCTTGGTCCCCCGCCAGGGCTCATCCTTGGTCCCCCGCCTTGGTCCCCCACCAGGGCTCATCCTTGGTCCCCCGCCTTGGTCCCCCGCCTTGGTCCCCCACCAGGGCTCATCCTTGGTCCCCCGCCTTGGTCCCCCGCCAGGGCTCATCCTTGGTCCCCCGCCTTGGTCCCCCGCCAGGGCTCATCCTTGGTCCCCCGCCTTGGTCCCCCGCCAGGGCTCATCCTTGGTCCCCCTGCCAGGGCTCCATCCTTGGTCCACCACCTTGGGCCCCCTGCCAGGGCTCCATCCTTGGTCCCCCACCAGGACCCCATCCTTGGACCCCTCCCAGGGCCTCAACCTTGGGTCCCCTGCCAGGGCTCCATCCTTAGTCCTCCTCCAGGGCTCCATCCTTGGCCCCCCCCACCAGGGCTCCAACCTTGGGCCCCCGCCGCATCTGCTGTACAGGTCATGATTGTGGTGCTGCATCTTCTGTGCAGGTCATGATTGTGGCACAGTGCTGCATCTGCTGTGGACGTCATGATTGTGGGAAAGTGCTGCATCTGCTGTACAGGTCATGATTGTGCGGCAGTGCTGCATCTGCTGTGCAGGTCATGATTGTGGTGCTGCATCTGCTGTACAGGTCATGATTGTGGTGCTGCATCTGCTGTACAGGTCATGATTGTGGTGCTGCATCTTCTGTGCAGGTCATGATTGTGGTGCTGCATCTCCTGTACAGGTCATGATTGTGGTGCTGCATTTCCTGTACAGGTCATGATTGTGGTGCTGCATTTCCTGTACAGGTCATGATGGGTCATGATTGTGGTGCTGCATCTTCTGTGCAGGTCATGATTGTGGTGCTGCATCTCCTGTACAGGTCATGATTGTGGTGCTGCATCTCCTGTACAGGTCATGATTGTGGTGCTGCATCTCCTGTACAGGTCATGATTGTGGTGCTGCATCTCCTGTACAGGTCATGATTGTGGTGCTGCATTTCCTGTACAGGTCATGATGGGTCATGATTGTGGTGCTGCATCTTCTGTGCAGGTCATGATTGTGGCACAGTGCTGCATCTGCTGTGGACGTCATGATTGTGGGACAGTGCTGCATCTGCTGTGCAGGTCATGATTGTGGTGCTGCATCTGCTGTACAGGTCATGATTGTGGCACAGTGCTGCATCTGCTGTGCAGGTCATGATTGTGGTGCTGCATCTGCTGTACAGGTCATGATTGTGGTGCTGCATCTCCTGTACAGGTCATGATTGTGGGACAGTGCTGCATCTGCTGTACAGGTCATGACTGTGGAACAGTGCTATGCTTTTATGAAGTTCATATAGTTCATGATAACCTCTGGCACAATTACTTCTTGTCACAAACCATCAGAATTTCCATTCAGAGAGTATGGGCCATACAAAAACCTGAAAGATCTGCCATCTTTCCAAACAAAACTCAAACTATATAAATATATGATATTCCTTAATCTCACAAGCCTTGGAGCGTTCTTACAACAAACCTAAGCTCCAGCTAGAAACTGGTCAATTGTGAAATTAAATACAACTATGTAAAGTATTTATCTTTCAGTTTGTCAAATATTTTCAAAATCTTATATCGAGTCATTTGCATTTACTCAGATGTAATATTTCACAGGGATCATTGAACATATTAAATGAGGGCATAAAATATTTACCTACATTAACACATTATGTTCCGGACTGTCTGAGTGATTATGTGTGTATGAGTTTGTCTTCAGTCAGTTGCATAATAGGTCCCCAGTGCCCCACGTTCATCTCCCTGTGGGTTTTCAGAAACAGAATAGGTCCCTAGTGATCCATGTTTGTCTCACTGTGGGGTTTCAGATGCATAATAGGTCCCCAGTGATCCATGTTTGTCTCCCTGTGGGGTTTCAGATGCAGAATAGGTCCCCAGTGATCCATGTTTGTCTCCCTGTGGGGTTTCAGATGCAGAATAGGTCCCCAGTGCCCCATGTTCATCTCCCTGTGGGGTTTCAGAAGCAGAATAGGTCCCCAGTGCCCCATGTTTGTCTCCCTTTGGGGCTCAGATGCAGAATAGTTCCCCAGTGCCCCATGTTCATCTCCCTGTGGGGTTTCAGAAGCAGAATAGGTCCCCAGTGCCCCATGTTTGTCTCCCTTTTGGTTTCAGATGCAGAATAGTTCCCCAGTGCCCCATGTTCATCTCCCTGTGGGTTTCAGAAGCAGAATAGGTCCCCAGTGCCCCATGTTTGTCTCACTGTGGGGTTTCAGAAGCAGAATAGGTCCCCAGTGATCCATGTTTGTCTCACTGTGGGTTTCAGAAGCAGAATAGGTCCCCAGTGATCCATGTTTGTCTCACTGTGGGGTTTCAGAAGCAGAATAGGTCCCCAGTGATCCATGGTTGTCTCACTGTGGGGTTTCAGAAGCAGAATAGGTCCCCAGTGCCCCAAGTTCATCTCCCTGTGGGGTTTCAGAAGCAGAATAGGTCCCCAGTGATCCATGTTTGTCTCCCTGTGGGGTTTCAGAAGCAGAATAGGTCCCCAGTGCCCCAAGTTCATCTCCCTGTGGGGTTTCAGAAGCAGAATAGGTCCCCAGTGATCCATGTTTGTCTCCCTGTGGGGTTTCAGAAGCAGAATAGGTCCCCAGTGCCCCAAGTTCGACTCCCTGTGGGGTTTCAGAAGCAGAATAGGTCCCCATTGATCCATGTTTGTCTCCCTGTGGGTTTCAGAAGCAGAATAGGTCCCCAGTGATCCATGTTTGTCTCACTGTGGGGTTTCAGAAGCAGAATAGGCCCCCAGTGATCCATGTTTGTCTCACTGTGGGGTTTCAGAAGCAGAATAGGTCCCCAGTGCCCCACGTTCATCTCCCTGTGGGGTTTCAGAAGCAGAATAGGTCCCCAGTGCCCCATGTTTGTCTCACTGTGGGGTTTCAGAAGCAGAATAGGTCCCCAGTGATCCATGTTTGTCTCACTGTGGGGTTTCAGAAGCAGAATAGGTCCCCAGTGATCCATGTTTGTCTCACTGTGGGGTTTCAGAAGCAGAATAGGTCCCCAGTGATCCATGTTTGTCTCACTGTGGGGTTTCAGAAGCAGAATAGGTCCCCAGTGCCCCATGTTTGTCTCCCTGTGGGGTTTCAGAAGCAGAATAGGTCCCCAGTGATCCATGTTTGTCTCACTGTGGGGTTTCAGAAGCAGAATAGGTCCCCAGTGCCCCATGTTTGTCTCCCTGTGGGGTTTCAGAAGCAGAATAGGTCCCCAGTGATCCATGTTTGTCTCCCTGTGGGGCTCAGAAGCAGAATAGGTCCCCAGTGCCCCACGTTCATCTCCCTGTGGGGTTTCAGAAGCAGAATAGGTCCCAAGTGCCCCATGTTTGTCTCCCTGTGGGTTTCAGAAGCAGAATAGGTCCCTAGTGATCCATGTTTGTCTCACTGTGGGTTTCAGATGCAGAATAGGTCCCCAGTGATCCATGTTTGTCTCACTGTAGGGTTTCAGAAGCAGAATAGGTCCCCAGTGCCCCAAGTTCATCTCCCTGTGGGGTTTCAGAAGCAGAATAGGTCCCCAGTGATCCATGTTTGTCTCACTGTGGGGTTTCAGAAGCAGAATAGTTCCCCAGTGCCCCATGTTCATCTCCCTGTGGGGTTTCAGAAGCAGAATAGGTCCCCAGTGCCCCATGTTTGTCTCCCTTTTGGTTTCAGATGCAGAATAGTTCCCCAGTTCCCCATGTTCATCTCCCTGTGGGTTTCAGATGCAGAATAATAGAGGAATACTTGACTTTGCTGAAAGATTTGTCCTACATGTCAGAGAAATATACTATTAAAATAATGTGACAGCAGGGTTTGGAAACTAAGCACGTCAATTGGGACATTGCCACTTCACAAGTTTTTACATCATCTAATAAAGGGTTAGTCGGTGTACATGTGGCACCCTGGATTTTGTGAAACAAGTGATAGCATTACATTACCACCAGGTCCCAGTGCCTGAGAGTGATTGGATGGAGCGCCTGCCAGCTCTGATTGGACAAGAGTTTCGCATGACCGGGATTGGATGGGATACAGCTGTTGGCGACCTGCAGCTGTCGTCTCTAGGTGAGTGCTGTGGCCTGTCAGGGACTTGCGCACATTTCTGGCTGGGTGCCTGTGATGGTTGTATATTTCAGGATGGGTGTCTGTGATGGTTGTATATTTCTGGCTAGGTGTCTGTGATGGTTGTATATTTCTGGCTAGGTGTCTGTGATGGTTGTATATTTCTGGCTGGATGTCTGTGATGGTTGTATATTTCAGGATGGGTGTCTGTGATGGTTGTATATTTCAGGATGGGTGTCTGTGATGGTTGTATATTTCTGGCTAGGTGTCTGTGATGGTTGTATATTTCTGGCTAGGTGTCTGTGATGGTTGTATATTTCAGGCTTGGTGTCTGTGATGGTTGTATATTTCAGGCTGCGTGTCTTGTGATGGTTGTATGTTTCAGGCTGGGTGTCTGTGATGGTTGTATATTTCAGGATGGGTGTCTGTGATGGCTGTATATTTCAGGATGGGTGTCTGTGATGGTTGTATATTTCAGGATGGGTGTCTGTGATGGTTGTATATTTCAGGATGGGTGTCTGTGATGGTTGTATATTTCAGGATGGGTGTCTGTGATGGTTGTATATTTCAGGCTGGGTGTCTGTGATGGCTGTATATTTCAGACTGGGTGTCTGTGATGGTTGTATATTTCAGGATGGTGTCTGTGATGGCTGTATATTTCAGACTGGGTGTCTGTGATGGTTGTATATTTCAGGATGGGTGTCTGTGATGGTTGTATATTTCAGGATGGGTGTCTGTGGTTGTTGTATATTTCAGGATGGTGTCTGTGATGGTTGTATATTTCAGGCTTGGTGTCTGTGATGGTTGTATATTTCAGGCTGGGTGTCTGTGATGGCCCACAGGGACATGGAGGTGAGACTTCGGGGGTACACCCCAGGTGGGCGTGGCTGCCACATGAGGGTACCAGCACTCCTCCCAAACGTCCTGGCTTTCAGGGGGAAGAGGGCCAAGAAGTCAAGTCCTGCATATTCCACCAGGAAACTTATATCCCCAAGATAGAGGACAACATTACGCGAGCAATAGACTGAACACTGTTTTGTATATGAATAAAAAGATTTGGAAAACATGTTTTATGTGTGTTTGTCCTGAAACATGGATTTTGACATATATATTTTTATGACTTGAAGGGGAAGGAAATACCTAAAGGCTGAAGGTCAAGTGATCTTATGAAATGGAGAATTGCCTTTCATCCATACATCGTTATTTTCATATATTCCATTTTACTTCTACTCTGACATATATAAATGGAGGAAATCATGTTGAAAATTTACTTGATTTGACACTTTCTTATGGATAACAACCACTTCATTTTTTATATCGACGTTTCAGGGTCCCTTGATTAGATGACCTGTAATCAGTAAATATATCTATATATACACCTTGTCTAAAGTGTCGCACCACCAAGATTTTTTGATAATCAGAAAAGAGATGGGTATGGAGAAGCTGGAAAGTGAAACAAAGGCAATCAAAAGTGTCACTTAATGTCAAAAAAGATGTTATTTTTATGAATATTAGGGGGAAATGAGCACTAGCAGAGACAAAGAGCAATTTTATTCACCAGCGACTACAAGGGCTGCAATTGGGAATAAATAGAGGCAGTATAAGTATGGTAACTGCCAGGAATGAGATGGACAGATCAGCACGGACATGTCTCAGTTACATTGTACCCATGTCACAGTTACATGATCAACTGTGTAAGTCATAATCTGGTGTATCCACCCTGTACACGGATCACATCCGCACGATGTCTCCTCGTGCTCAAAACCAGATGCCTGATCCTCAGCCAAGGGAAGTGTTGCCATTCCTGGGTCAATTTTTGGAGATTCTGTACTGGAGAGTCCCTGGCTCTAACCCTACGTCCCAACTGATCCCATAGATGCTCGATTGGATTCAGGTCAGGGTTTCAAGAAGGCCAAGGCAGAGTCTCAATGGCGTTGTACTGGAGATAGCCAGTGATTGGTGTCCTCCATGAAGACAGGACGTGTGGCAAGTGAGTGGTTATCAAAATGAGGCACAATATAACCGTCCAATATGGCATCTTGGTACCTTTGTTCATTTAATGTCCCCTGAACTGTGACCAAATCAAGTTTACAATCAAAGGAACATCTCCATACCACAGATCGCCTCCATGGTCTAGTGGTAGAGCGTCCACCCGGACAGCGGGAGGTCTTGGGTTCGATCCCCAGATTCGTCTTACCTAAAGACGTTAAAAGATGGTACTTGTTGTTATCCTGTCTGAACTCGGCATTAAGGTCCTAAGATAAGGACTGGTTGGCTCGGAGTCAATATACTGTGTCTGAGTTGGGTATTCATGTTAAACTGCGGCATGGTATCTCAGTGGGCTAGCACTATAAATCGGCATCAGTCTGGACTAGTACAAAGAGCCACACAAACACACACATACATGAACGTCGCTATATAAGTGCAATAATCTTGGACGCGATGTTAAACCCCATTTCACCTCACCTCACCCCATACCACATGGTACTTTTTTTCTGGATGTTGCGCTGATAAGATGTTTCCCTTTGCCTCCAGACACAAGTCCTATAGAAACCTACTTTTGACACACGAATGAATCCTCCTCCATGACCTCAAGTTCCAGTGTGCCCGAGCCTGACACCAGGCTAAACAGTCCTGCATGTGAATATATTTTTTGTTGAAGCTTGACAGTTGACAGTTGTTGGCAACGGTACTATCTTCCCACAACTGCTTTGTATAGTTTTCTTAAAACAAAGCTTAAGGCCCTTTTTTGGAGACCCTCAAAACCTGATTTCCCCAAACTTGATTTTTCTTGGGGTTTTAGACAATCAGGACACACACTAGGGAATGGTTTTGTTCAATAATTGGGTTGTTATCACAAATGTCCGGGTTAATTAATTATGATCTCAATTCTTCTGGAGTGAGTTTCTGGCCCTTAATCCTGCTGCATTCAGTCGATCCCTGATTGTGCAGAGGGACACTGTTGTGGCCAGTGATGGCGAACGGTGCAAGTTGAAGTTGACCTTGTCTTCTGTTGCACTGGTCTTCTGTGGACGTCCTGATCTCGGCAAGTTCCTCACATGTCCAGCCAATGTGTATTTTCTAATGAGTCGACTGGTGACAGTATGATTAATGTTCAACACGGTGGCAATAGCCCGACATGACATGCCAGTGGTTTGCCATCTTTGATTTTCTGGGATAGTTTGCTTTGGCATTTCAGTTACAGTCGTTCAAAAGACAGACGTTCAATTTGGCAGAACTCATTCAAAGTTAATTGCAGTAAAGTAACTTGTCATCAAAACTGAATTTCTCTATAGAGACTCCTTAGGTGTGCATACGACTCGAATAATGCACCCACAAGTTGGGCGGTTAAGATGGCTGCTTTTACACAGGCAGATGTGGCAATGCACAGTGTACCGTTCGAAAATCTCTCCATTGAAAATGAACTCGCAATTACACTTAAAATTTGGTGGTGCAATACTTTTGACGAGGCATATATATGCTGTTATGTTCACATAAGGTTGGATTAATGTACAAAAATAACAATATTATGACCACTCTGGTCACGATATTTCCTGGCAACAAACCAAAATTCTTGATACCGACATCAAACACTGGGGAAAAAAGGAAACTGCAAGACATTTTTGAAGTTTAAGGAAAGTAGACAGCTATTCAAAGAGACCAATGACAACTTACAGTTACAAAATATAATTTTTATGTCCTTTAATCTGTTTGTTGTTTAACGCCGCACTCAGCAATAATCCAACTATATGACAGCGGTCTTTATATAATCGAGTCTGGACCTGACAAAACGGTGAGTGACATCATGAGTATCGATATACACAAATGGGATACAGTGACATGCATCAACCAAGTCTGTGATAGCAGGTATCACAATAGAGGGCATAAGGTTAACTGACTAATATTTATGGGCCAAATCAAGATGAACCTGCTATTTACAATACTTTGTTCAATAATATTGACGAATTTGAAAACGAATCACTGGTTACATGGGGAGATTGGAACTTGGTACTCAATCCAGATGTCGATTTCGAAAATTATAAGCATATCAACAAACCCAAAGCAGGAAAGTTAGTACTTGAAAAAACAGAAAAATAAAGCAAATGAAAAAGGAAATCAGGGGAAATTTTCAGAATATAAGTGAATCAAAGCTGTCAGACTTGTCTAAATATAAAGTACTTTTTGAAAAACTGAAAGAAGAATCAAGGGGAATACAAATAAGAAACAGAATCCATCGGTACGAGGAAGGAGAAAAAACATCAAAATATTTTTGTCATTTTGAAAATAGGACCTATACCAGTAAACTAATTAACAGTATTAAAACTGAAAAAAGGGAGTGTACAAAAAATGGACAAGCCATCGTAATTGAACAAAGACATTTTTATGAGAAACTATACTCTTCAAGTGTAGAAATAACTAATGAATCCAAAAATGAATTACACAAATTTAACACACCAAAACTGAGCAAATCACAGTTTGATTATTTAGAAGACATGATTAACATGAATGAAATAACAAAGGCTGTAAAATCTATGAAAAATAACAAAAGCCCAGGTATTGATGGATTCCCTGTAGAGTTTTTCATTTTTTTCTGGAAAGATCTTGGAATATGGGTATACAGATATATTACAGAAACATTTAGAAATGACACTTAAGTCTAACAATGAATAGAGGTGTCATTACCTGTATACCGTAAGGCACTTAAGATAAACAACTACTCAATTTCTATCTTAAATTCATTGTATGAAATTTTGAGTACATGTATTGCAAACAAAAGTAAATCAACGCTTAATACTCTTGTACACGAAAACCATACAAGCTTTATCCCTGGAACATGTATTAACGAAAACATACGACTACTTAATGATAATAAGCCTGGTTTGCTATTACTTATAGACTTTGAAAAAGCTTTTGATACACTTTCAAAACAAATTACCATGTTTACACTGAAAAAGTTTGGCTTTGGACCTAATATAAGAAAATGGATATACATACTTATAGATAATGCTTCATCTTGCATCATACAAAATGGACACCGATCTACACTCTTCTATAACGACCCATTGTCTCCATATCCATTCCTGCTTGTTGCAGAAACTTTGGGAATAATGATTCGTGATAATGATGCAATAAAAGGTATCAAACTGAATAATGTGGAACATAAACTCAGGCAATATGGTGATGATACTAAAATATTTCTAGATGGGACTGACGAAAGTTTAAGTACAGCGATTGACACCCTAAATGATTTATTATAAAATGTCAGGATTAATAATTAATATTGATAAAACAAAAGCAATGTGGAAAGGCTAAATGACAGGTTGTGACACCAAATGTGGGGACTTTGGGAATAAAGCTTAATTCGAACTTAAATAATCTGTGGGTAATCAATACAAAAAAAGAGAATTGACATTATTAATCAAATTTTAGGGAATCAGAGGAAAAGAAATTTAACACTGCTAGGTAAAATTACTGTTGTCAAAACCTGGGCCCTATCAACCTTGGTACCTATATTTTCCTCTTCCAAACCCTCCAAGTGAATTTATTGACGAACTAAACCAAATAGTATACAGATTCATATGGAATGATAAAAAGGACAAAATAAAATGAACAACTTTAATCAGAAAATATTACGAAGGCGGACTGAGAATGATAGAGGTATTTTATAATTTCTCTAAAACTGTCAGTTCTCAAAAAAACATCCCCAAAACAAAATCTACTGTACTAACCCTGACATCTTTCCACCAAAAAACATATTCATACTTTGGGCCAATATTGAAAACTGTAAACACTTACCTTACCTTACTGGAGAGATGTTTTGGCTGCTTGGGGAACACTGTATAAAACACAAAACTAACTCCACAAACATTGAAGAAGTATCATCAGAACCTCTTTGGTGTAACCATCAGTTTTAAAAAAAACTGATTTCATAATAAGAAATTGTTTTTTAAAGGGAATT